TAGAAGAGGTAAAGAGTTGATTTATAAGCTCTTCACAATATATAGAACCTTAAATTTGGATATTGAGAAAGCAGGAAAGGAACATTGAAAATTTTTGTTAATGTTATTGGCATATGTAATATAGGAAAATATCGCCTATAGAGATTAAGGCGTATATGTGAAGATTCAAAAATTTGTATAATGTGATATTTGTGGCACACATACATAAGTTCATCATCGCTGCCACACTATATCCTTTCTAGAATTGATTACTAACGTTCACATGAAATAGACTAGCATTGGATAATTTTTGGTCAATTAAAGACTAGTCTGACTCTATCTAACATTCTACTAGCTAAGTATTGTAAAAGATCAGTTGTAACAGACATTCTAGTGTTTGAACTTTCTTTTTGTTTGTTCTAAGCATTTTACGTGCAATTATTTTTTTATAATGAATAAAGTGTTAATATCATGTTTCCACTGCAGCTAAAAGTACTTATGTTAATAAAGCTAAGATTTGAACGTTTTCATTGACATAAATTGATTTATGTACGTGAAATAGCTTGTTTGTTTACAGTTAAAGTTACATATAAAACATATGATAAAAATTTTTAAATTTTGTTTATTTCTTTTGTGAGAAATTTATTTTTTAAGGATTGCATTCGACTATTTTCACCTTAAATCAGTTGATTTATTTATAATACGCTCATTTATATGAAAGCTGGTATAAATGGTAAATTATCCTCATTAACGGCCTCATTAATGCGCAAAACTGTCTAAATGGGATAAGTGGAAACGAGTGGTTTAAGAACTATATACATTGTTCGATGAAACATAGACTGTAGATACAATAATATTGTTGAAAATGTATACTTTTAAAATTCTTGACAGAAAAAACCTATATCAAAAAAGAAGAAGAATGTTCTTTTGATTCTTCAGACTAAAATGAAACAATATTCATATATTTTCACCTCAAATACTTCGACTGTATTTAATGACATACTATTTTTTAGTTTCTGTAGAATTATTTCTCTAGAACTGATTGAAAACGTATTTAAAACCACAAAAATTTAAAATTTCATTTTTTTATTATAATTAACTTTTGCGATCTAAAGAGGAAGCAACGCATTAGTCGGCGGCTGTACGATTTATTGCATTCTTTTCGTTATTATTGAATAATTTTCTTTGTTTTTTGCGGTTAATATGAACTTTTCTTTTATCTCTGATATTTGTTATTTATTATTAAAAAAAAAAATTGCAAATTAAAACTTATTTAATTTTTCGAATATCCGACATATAGAGATAGTATCCGACTTGCAAGATCAACGTTTGTTTTCTACCGAGTCGAAATTAACGCGTTTCTGTTACCGCCGCTAACGTGCAACCACACGCGCTGTCAAATGTCAACTGATATACAAATGCGAAAACAAAAACAAAAAGAAAAACGACAACAAACAACAAACAACAACAAAACAAACAAATATCATTTACAGTCCGCTGAAGCATTTTAGATATATTACATCCGCGTAGCGCAAAGCGGTTCGCAGTGTGCGACCTGCAATTCGCTGTCGATGTTCGTTCGCCGTTCACCGTTCGCCGTTTGCCATTGTTGTGTGCTTGTGCTCAGTGCTGTGAGCTGTGTGCTGTCTACGGTCTACGGTGTATGGTTCGCAATTAGTAGATCGCATATCGGCGCTTGACTAGATTGACAATGAAGTTCTGTGGTCAATTCTGTAGGCATTGTTGTTGTAGCTTTCTAGCTTTCGCATGTGCGACTACTCACACGATAAGGGCGTAATTTTTTTAGAGGGGAGGAGGGGGGTATGTGCACTTTAAATATGCATTTAAAATAGTTTAAACATATATTAAACAATAACAATTTAAGCTGTAATTTCACTTTAAAAGAACGCATGCAATCTAATACATAGAAAGGGTGAGTGAGTCACCTTCGCATAGAAGATATGACATAGAAGAGAAATCTTGTTTTGTCTCCAAACGTAATTGACGAAAATCTGAAGAAATGAGAATCTTAAAGAATTCACTTCAAAATTCGGTTGTCTTGATAGAAAAAAAGATTTTAAATACTTTTCACACAGACAGATACATAAAGATATGATTAAGAGAAGATTTTTACATTTAAAAGGGAAGCTTATAAGTTAATATTGTAGTACATACGTTCGGATACTTTCAGATATTTGTTTTCAATATGAAAATCATGATATATGTTAAAATCCAACAAACATTAATACGTACTTATTTAGTTGGCTATTACAGACGTGAGTTATACTTTGAAGCTTTCACTAATCGCCGTCAGAAAACCCGATTAATGGTTTGTTGTCACCAATAATATGTCGAATCTTTTTAAACATATTATATGGTATATGGTATAATGATTACAAATAGTACCAGATTCATAATATTTGTCCAACTGCGGTATATAACTATTTTATACTGAATCTATACAGACTAGAATTCAGCAAATTTTTTTTATACACACTTAATTTTTTATTAATTACTTACTTAAATGAATGGTCATAACAACCTGATACCGTTCTCCAGCCTGACGCGCCATGTTCCTTCAGGCGATACTGTTGTATGCCGGCCTTCTCTAGTTTCGTACATTAAGTGGGGTAGTGCTCTTTCAACTGGATCATTTCACCGGAGGCTCAGTCAGTTTTAATGTTAAATCTTCCTCTAACTATACCACTTCAAATACCTATTTAGCTAGAACATCTTCATTCACTATCACGATATGAGAGAACAATAAATTCTGTGTTAACGCCCATGCTTCTGCGTCATATAGAAGCACAGGTAGGATAAGCGACCTAAGTTTTGTCTCTCCAAAGAGAATTTTACATCTCAATTGCCTACTGAAGCTATTATTATTATATTAAGGCTAGGTGAGTCAATGCAATTAAGCACTTTTACTCTCTATTAACTGCAAGATTTCTTTATAACCCCTCCCTACGCCTTAAGTGGATTATTATTTGTCACTTCATCAGATTAAGCAATCACTAACTTTAGATCTGCATATCTCCCCGAGGAGATATGTAATCATTCTGAGATTCGATAACGGGGCGTTGGTAAGCCTGTCAGTTTTCGTAAATAATTTTAGGGCTCTAACTTTATGTGTATTTTGATCGAATCAATCTTGAGGCTCCTGAGCATGTCATTCGTCCTAATGTACCACTTATTGGCAATAGTGATTTTTCGTCTGTTCTCAATGCAAACATCGTTATTCTTTGTTGGGATGGTGCCACAAATAAAATGATCGAATTTAGATCAGTGAAAATTTACAAATAATTTTCGTCAGGTAACTCTTAGCCACAAAAAGTTGCTGTATGGTGTGGCATTAGGGGTCAGAAATATAATAAGCCGTTACTTTTTTTTAAAATGACGAAAGCCCAATACAAGATAATAAATCTGTTCATTACAGCTAAATGATAATCTATTTTTGCAGTGAAATTAAATATACGGATATGGAAAATTGATGGTTTAAACATTGGTATGTGACATGTATTTTCACGTTGTGGTGTTGTGAATTAACCACCAAGGCCTAATGAACCTTTTTTTGTGGGGATACACAAAAAAAAGTATAATTATGTAGGCAATTCTCAAATTCTTAACACTTGAAGACGAACACAAACTAGATCATATTTTAAAAAGATCTAGTATTGTATAATTGCGCTTGAATGCTGTTGTATTTCATAAATAATGACACCGTTCAAACAACATATAGAATTAACTATTTAATTTAAAATATATTATATTTACGTTTAGTTCCGGACATACAAAAGAATATAGTCCGGTATTTGTATATTCGCACAGATTTAACACAATTGCGTCAAAGCATGGATTCATCTATATTAATATATGTATGTAATGGAAAAGGTCTATGATTGATTACGTTATAACCGTTTTATAATAAACTGTCGAAGACCGTATACCGCTTAATTACATATTACGGTCTATGCGTCTTACGATCTTTTTTGGTTCTAACAACACGGTCTTTAAAATAATCGTAAAAGCTTTTCTGAAAACTTTTGGTAAGAGCTTTTATTTTTGACCGCAGCTTAGAGATTTGTATAATTTTTTACTTTTAGATAAGAAAATAATAGATTATTTATTTAAAACACGATCTGAATTTTTAAAGTAGCTTTAATGAATAACAATTAAATTGTAAATAATTTATATAATTATAAACATGCAATATCAACATATTGTCCTTTCGGTCATCAATCTTATTATCATCTTCTCAATGTTGTAGTATTTTTCTAACATCAAAGTTTATAGAGTCCCTCATTTTAATCAGATAATACAAGCAAAATATTTAGAATCTGTTTAAGAGCAGAAATGAGTCGTTAAATATATAATATATATAATTATATATATAATATAATTCTCTTTTTAGAATACTATCGAACAAAACTAAAATTTAATTCCATTTTAAATTTGGCTCTAGAATAATTCAACTGTTATTTTACGGGCTAATCATTAATTAAAATTTGGGACACAATTGTGATGTCAGTTACCCTCTTTATTTTGGTTTCAATTAAAAATGATGCCGTACGTAGTCCATAAAATTTATTTTTCGTTCCTTGCACTAATTACTGACCTTTTATGGTATATTTAAGGAGCTTTAATACAACACAATCTATATATATTCTTTTATGTTTGTGCCTTTTCAAGTAAAAATTTTGTTTCTGTCATTACATGACTACAAGCTCAGATAAAAAGGTCAATATCTATCAATAATACATCCGACCACATTCTCTGTGAATGCTCAAAATTGAGCCACAGCATCAGACTAACTCATCTTGGGGACAGACTCACACTCTATTCTAGGTTCTCTCGTGCATTATAAATCTTAGGTGCGAATGACACCACTGCAGACTAATCGATTAGTAGGATAGTTATACGCTCTATTTAATAACAAAAATAATAATAATAATAATGTAAAAAATTAGTTTTAATTGGTGATAAATATATGTAATTTATTTTTGAGAATTGGACAAATTTTTTTGGACAAATACTTTCTATGTTTTGGTTTTTGAAACATAGAAAAAGTTATTCTGATTACTTAAATTATACTATATACTAAGGTAGTATCGATTTTTTGTTTCAAAATTCCAAATGGTGTTATTCAAAGTATTTTATTTCAGGGCACAATCACTTGATTTTAATAGGACGATTAGGTTAACTGCAACTATGGAAGATGCCGGTAATGTACAGCAATGTTGTTATAATGATGAAGACGACAAGTTGGATTATTCCTTTTGTGACAGTTTTGTGTTGCATATAAACTTCAGTAAAGCTGTTTCATTGTACAAATTTCATCAGTGAGTAAGTACGATTTTTCCTAACAATCACAGACTCCACATTTCTTCATGTTTATAGTAATCGTTGGTTGGCTTTAAGCTAAGTAACCAAGAAACGCTTACAGTCACTGAAATCTAGCGGAACTTGAAGTATGAATTAAAAAGGAATTCAGTTATTATTATTAGTCACTGTCTTGCGTAGGCTTCATCTTCGCAACTGATAGATGGTTTCAGTAGTTATCACACGTACTATTTGCTGTACATTATATCGATCCGATGAGCGTATACTGCGTAAGCATTTAGTATTATCTAGGCCAAGTATTACGTTAATGTGTTTACTTAAAATTATAATAATACATCTATCTTCTTTTATTCCTCTTACAAATGAATGAATTATAGTTCCCTCGGAAGTTACTAAATGGTTGTTTGGTTGACAAGTTTGGGCAAATTATATGAAGCTATTACACTGCAAAAAATGACTGAATGTGTGGTTCTTAAAATATTCTTATATTCCCGATTGACTGGAAATTGTTTAACGACTTCATAGTGTTCCATACAAAATAAAAGAAGCGGTTTCTTCACTTATCGGTTATCTTAAATTTGTTTCGCAAATGTTTTAAAATGCAATACATTTCGTCCTGTTGTTTTGATTAGTGATGGAAATATGGTCTGTGATTCACTATCGAAGTTTTAGTAATTTTAATAATTCTGCTATTGACTTAAATTTAGTTTTTTAATCAAAACTTCATTGCGAATCTCTTCAGAGCCATATGTGAAACTTTTGGATTGTGTGATTCAGTTTCTCGTTTAATTATAGTAAAGGGAACTTCGAATAGCTTTTTAAAAAGTCCCGTATCAGCTTCAGGATCTTCAGATAAATCAACAACAACTTTTATCATGTGTGCCAAAACCATTGGACATACCCTTCGTGTTATTTCTGTTGATGGTGATAAATCTGGTGTAGAGTTGATTTCAATTAGTATGGGATCTAAAGTTTTATCCAACATAAAGTCACACCCATATAATTCATAACAGTTTTCTCGAATTGTGAGATCGCATATACTGGATTTTACTATTGATGTCAGAATTTTTCTAAAACCAGGCATTATTTTATCATCCCATACATTTTGAGGTATGTTTTTTTGGCTGTTAAGAAAATCTTTAAATTTTGACACAGACCACATATTACATTCTGGGAGACTAACGTCACGGCCTTTTTGGTTGCAATACTTTTCTTGAACAGCGTGATTCGTCAAATGAATTGCTTCACATAAATTATTCATATCGAATTCCTGTGAGCTAAACCGAATGTAGCACTCATCGCAAAACCAAAGAGACAAATTCTTATCTTTATCAAGACGTAAAACCATATATGCTCGTATATCGAACTTCGTATTCATTATAACAAATGGGCGTTCTAAAAAAAAATATATATATATTTTAGATACATACATATATGGTGAATGTCATTTTGCTTACCGATATACTTTTGAACAATATACTTTCTTTCATGTAAACTACAAAATTGAAGTATTTTCTCTAGTTGCCCAGTCACAACAATACCCATACCACGGCATTGGTGAGCAGGTTTAACGAGCCAGATGTTACGACATCCATCCCACTTATAGTCGGGCCTATATTGCTTCAATTTAAATAAATAGATTTGTCCCTCTTCTGCTTTTTCAGAAAGTTCTGCAAGCGATATTTTCAGTTTTGCTTTATTACTTACTATTGTGCACGCATTGTGAGAGAAAATTTCCTTTTCTATTAGATTTTCTCCACATTTTACATCAAAGCCTCCTCTCTCCAACTCGGAACACTCCATTTCATAAACTTGTTTTCGAACATTTGTAAGCGCAAAAGTAATCACAGATTTGGGCATAGATCCATTATGCTCGTCGGCAATTTTTGAATACATGTGCAAATTGTTCCAGATATACTGCAATAGGCCACGACATTGTGTTTGGTGGAAGTCTTCCATAAATTCCATTTCCTCATCAGGCTCATCACTTAGTCTATACGCTCGAGGATAGTTTCTAGTCATATCCCCACGTTCGCGGCTTTTGCGTTCCTTATGACAACACGCAATTAGACCATTCTTCGAGGTGAAATCTAAAGCCAGCCCACGATATACACGATTAAGGTATGGGCGTGTATTTTCTTGAAATGTCTGATTAATTGTTAACCAAACAAATGATGGTGTTGTTTCGTTAACAATTCTAGCCAGCAGATATTGTTCACAATCATTACATGGGCACGCTCTTTCTAAAAGTAGTTTGTTAGATAAATCGTTTCTTCTGATCGGACTGTCCGGTGATTGTTTTTCAATCCAGCCCCGTTTGAGTAGCTCTTCGCGTATCGGCCAGCTTTCACGTCCGTTCAGGTAAAATATATGGCCCTTTTCGTATGCCGTAAATACTTTTTGTTTCAAAGCTTTTACTTTAGTCAGCAAATTCACATTTTCGTTATATCGGATAGCTTCAAAAAATAAAGCATTAATACCAAAATTGAGCCGACTTATGTCGTCCTGCTCAGAACGTTCTCGACGTCTTCCATTTCCGTTTGTTGCGTTTTGTGCATTGTTGTGATGTGCCAAGAATTGAAAGTATTTGTCCATTACGCAACAAAGGTGAAGAAGGCGAAGCGCTATTTAACAACTGTAATTTGGAAAACCAAAACTACATACTACAACTCAAAAAAATTTCTGATATAAAACCTTACCTTACTTGATTTTACCAGATATTAAAAGAGCATTGCCAACTTGGTTTCTTATTCGTTAGAATATGTAAAGTACAAAAACTAGCATACCATTTACACGATGGACTTTAAATGCCCCATAAATAATCTATTATTCAGATTTTTTATGTTACATGTTCTTGAAATAATTCTGACTTTTGGGAAGCAACAACCGGCGAATATTATTAAACTTTTTCACTTAAATAAACAAAAAAATTTACTACATACTACTAAATACTATTTACTAAGTACATTTTAATGAAAATGAGTAATTTTTGGAATCGTGTAAGCTGCTTTCGCTTATTTGCTACAGTTTTAAAATCAGCGGATTGTACCGTAAAAAATACGTATTCTACTGCAAAAACGGAGAAGAAAAAGTTTGCTAAAAATATAGGTTAAGAAGTTAAGAAAATGGTTCTTATTAAGACTAATCCAAAAAAAGGCTTCAAGCTTTAATAAAGTAAATGGGAAAATGCTAAAGCAATTGTAAGGTAAAACAATTTAGTTACCCGTGCTCATTTATAACGGCACCCTATCTTTTGGATACCATCCAAAATGTGGAAAGTGTCTATGATAAAAATGATTCTAAAGCCGGGTAAAGTTCTTACCGTTGAACTCGCAACGGTAGACTAATTAGCCTAGTATCTCAAATTTTCAAAATTTTTCAAAAGGCACTACTGTTAAAGATTTTACCTTGTATAACTTACCATAACATCATTCCTTATCACAAATTTTGATTAAGAAAAAGCATAGGGCAGTGGCACAGGTTTATAGAAATGCTAAAGAAACTCATACAGTTATTTTAATAGATGTAGTACAGACATTTGACAAATTTTGGCACGAGCCTTTTAGGACTAGAGAACATGAAATCCATTTAGGTATGCCACAAGGTGGCGTTTCAATATCCACATAACATTTACAGATAACACAGCAATATAAAGAACTATTTCTTATATTTAATTATTCGAAAGTAGTTTTTCGAGACTGTAAGTTCCAAGCATTGAATTCATGCTTTGTCAAATTTGAAGCTCAGAGTCATTATTCATTAGCCAATTGACACAAATCCGTACTTGGCTTATATTGTTGAACTTGAAGTTTTGTTAATTTGCTGTGAAAGTTCATTAATAATTAGTATGGCTTTTTCCGTATTACGTTCCTAGTTTATACCGCATTCATACTGTCTCATTTAGGCGGTTTCGCTCATTATAACCAATAATGAGAATAATTTACCATACAAAAATCTTTCTTATAAATAAACTCATTATTAATAAATTAGCTCATAAAAGGTGAAAATTGTTGTATGCAACACTTAAAAATAAATTTCCTATAAGGGAGATTAGTCACAGGTTGATATATTTGTTATATGTTTTATATGTAAAATGTAAACAAACAGCAGCTGAGCTGAAAGTAAAGGCACTGAGGAATAACTTTGATTTTTTTATTTATATATATAATTAAATTTGCAATTGATATATAAAATGTATATAAATGATTGAATATATCAATTACATATATTAATAAATATGATATATTAGGTCTGTTCCATGAGCTACTCATAGTAAAACTCAAGTAAAACACAAGTACAAACTGAGAGCGTAACACAAATAAAGTGCCAAATTCCCAGCGGCACCATTATGCCAGCGCTGAAAAAGTAAGCGAGGAGGTAATAGCTCTTCGTTTTTATTTTTCTTAGTTTTCGACATTTGTGTTCAACTCAGGCAATTTCGGGGTTGAAATTATAAAAGAATGAAGAATAAAAGAATTTGAATATGAATAATTTCTTGTTTTATCTGCATTGTATACAATTAGTCTGCTTTTGATTTTAGTGAAGTGCGAACAGTGAACAATTTTTAATTTTTAAAATCAAATAAAAAACAAAAATATAAATAAAATATAATTTGTAATTTCACATAAACTCACTGTAAGTATATGCAAAATTAAGTAAATATATTTAAAATGATATTTGAAATTTTTGTTTTGTATTATGTAGATGCTACTGCGTCAAGAACGATTAATTGACCAATGTGCTGCGAATGCAGTCATTCTAAAGCAAGGGGTAAAAGGTAATCAGCTGTTTCAATTGGAAAATTTTACAATTCAAACTGAGGAGGATTTAATTCAATTTAATGAAGAAATCACTGCCGTTGAATTAGTTGTAATTTAAATTATATATGTTTCTTACTTTCAATTTCAACTTATTAATATATTCACATGTAACAATTTTACTAATTCATACATTTCTTTTCATCTATTACGTTATTTATAGACTGCATCAATGAGACGCGTTATTAAAAAACAACCAATTACGCGAAAGATTTCGTGGAATTTTGGTGAATGGTACCCAAGGCAAGAAGTCCTTAAGACCGTTAGAGAATGTGACAGCAGCACTTTTTGGTATGGTATATTGTACATAATTAACTTTAGCGTATACTTTGTATTTACAGATACTTTAAGTACAGACGATAAGCCGGAACAAGTGATCGAGTCGAGTCTGGAAATCTCTTCAAGGTTTTAGTAACAATTTCACAGAAAAATATTCATATATATAAATATGTTATATTTTTTTATGTAAATATTAATATTTTATTTTATAAAACATAAATATAATATATAATTCATCCAAAAAAATTTTTAGTATTTTATTTAAAAATCAATAGCATAGGTAAAATTGAAAATTTAAGCGAACATATCAGCGCTGATATGTTGCATTACAAATTCGAAAAAGTAAACGAACATGTCAGCGCTGATATGTTGCATTACAAATACGAAAAGGTAAGCGAGCATGTCAGCGCTGAAATGTTGCATTACAAATTTGAAAAGGTAATCGAACGATTCAGCGCTTGCCCGCAATGACATGCACGTGTTAAAGTAATTAAGAGTTTCCTTTGAATAATCAGCGCTAGGCATTACCATTCAGCGCTGAGGGAATCGATTCCCTCAGCGGGACCCAGAACCCAGCTGGGTTACGCTCTTTACACAGATTTTTATGGAACAGCTTTGTTTGAAATCTGGTGAGAAAAGTGCCGCACAAATAATTCACACAGCACACAAATTTTACTTGAAATAAAATGTACGAGTTAAGTCTGTGTAGCATTTCAAATTTCGACAGGGATGTTGCGCACTCTCAGGTGCTCTCATTTACTCGAAAATTTACTGGAACGGTCTTGTGTATACGTAGTGTTACTCGAAGTTACTATGAGTAGCTCGTGGAACAGACCTATTTATTATACATATTATATATTATATATAAGATATATTATTAAGTGAAGTTTAGCTGCATAAATGAGTCCATTATTTATGTGAACGCTTTCTTATTAATATAAATAAGCAAATACCTAAATGAGACAGTGCAAATGTGCTATTAAGTTCTATGTACAAGAAAAAACTAAACTTATACAATAAATAATGTCTCTACAAAAGTATAGCATTGAAATTTCTTCTTCTTCTTTTTTTGTTAATACACCATAAACCATCTCCAAACTTACATTTATTAAACCTCTTTATTATATTTTTCTATGGATTTTGCATGGAAAATAGCACATATTGCTGAATATTTTAGACTAGACTAAACGTAGTAATAATAAGATACACTAAACATAGGACGTAGTTATTGTCGCTATTTGGTAAAATCGCTGTCGACAGATGTCATCAAAGTTAACATAGTAGAAAGTTAAAAAAAGGCAAAATTTGGATATATCAAATATAATTCGATAAATAAATTTTATTTAGCACTGGAAAAAGAATTGGAACAAATGCTTTCAACTCTTTAAGTCAATAGTTTAATATTAAAATCATATTTGATAAATTCTAAAAATTTTAACAAAAATAGTTCCAAGCCAAAATGCAGAAAGATCATTTTAATTATGATGTGCCTGATAAAAACCCTGAAAGCATTTGTGCAACTAACATTCCGGTTACCTCCACTACTCGTAGAAGTGATTTCATCCATTCTGGATTAAAAAATGAATTTGCAAAAATATTTGAAAACTTGGGAATAAAGTTCAATGCAGCAACATTATCCAAGCAGAGAAGTCGAATGGAGTCAACTAATAAAGGTCTGTTTTGGAATAAGTCTTATATGTTAAGAAAACAGATCTTCAACATTCCAACAGCAGCACGTGCGAAACGAATTAGATTTATTAGAAATGGTGACATATTAACATCCGGAATTGTGATTCCAGTTTCAAAAAAAAAATACCGATCCTTCGAAAGCCTCCTTGATGATATAACAAGAATGTTTCGTCAGATGTACCATTTAACAAGAGGTATAAGTGCAATATGTACACTTAATGGAGATCTGATCACAGATTTGGATAAGCTTGAAAAGGGCAAAAGTTATGCGTGCTGCTATCAAAATGAACATTTTAAGAAGGTGCAATATAAAGTGTTGGAAGTGCCTGCAGTGCAAGGAAAGAAGAAAAAAGAAGTCAACTATATTTCTAAATTTAATAAGATGCTGCAAATTAGTAAGTATCCAAAAGTTGTAAATAAAAATACGAATGACGTGGAAGATCAAGATATCATCCCACGAACTCTTATGTTGATTAAAGATGGTGTACCACCACGTAACATTAAGCCACTTCTATTGAATAAGGATAATGCTTTACACTTCGAACAGGCAGTTAAAACCATTTCTGATTTGTTTTCCTTTGATTCTACACAACTTCCAAATATATATTCACCTTCAGGTGAACCGGTACTTAAACTGTCACAATTGTTTGCTGACGATTATATATTTTTTGTGTTTGATGCGAAGACTGAACCAATCCCTAATAAATTCTCACTTCATCCCCATGAAAGAGTATATATCATGACAAATGGGCAAATAGATAGCGCTATTAAGGATGTACACAAAAATGTGAGCGCTGAGAAACTAATGGATGATAGCAAATTGAGACTTTGCATTGCTGCAGCGAAGTTTCCAGTACAAATAAGAGAGCATTATAATTTTGGGGAGGTGATTGGTGATGGAAATTATTCTATTGTAATTAAAATGTTCAATCGATATAACCTAAACCAGATGGCCCTTAAAATAATTGACAAGCGTAAATATCAAAATCTATCTTATTTCCACGATGAAGTTAGAATTATGAGAAAACTGAAACATCGACACATTGTGACAATGCTGATGTCATTTGATAGATGTGAAAATATGTATATTGGATTTGAATACCTACGGGATGGTGATTTATTCGATATTATCAAACGCGCCAAAAAGTTTTCAGAGGAACAATCCCGACTCATAATAGAACAGTTGGCTTCTGCATTAATTTATATGCATTCCAAAAGTATAATTCATCGCGATATTAAGCCAGAAAACCTTCTTGTAAGGTTGGACGAAACACATTTCATTTCTTTTATTAAATTAAGTGACTTTGGATTTGCAATCGAGGCACTCGAGCCTATTTATGACATCTGTGGCACACCTGCATATATGGCCCCGGAAACAGTTAAACGTTGTGGTTACTATGTAGAGGTTGATGTGTGGGCAACTGGTGTTCTATTGTATTTACTACTTTCAGGATATTTTCCAATCGATCTACATGAAACCGAATACGACTCTGAAATCTGTTATAACCTTATTGAACAAGGCAAATATAATTTTGATCATAAGTGTTGGAAGTCCGTATCTAAAGGAGCACGTAACCTTATTGCTAGTATGATGGAGGTTAATGTAAGCTTACGCCTAACCGGTGCAGGGATTTTATCTCATTATTGGATAATGAATAAAAACCAATAATTGCGTAAAATTTTACATACAAAATAGTTATTTATTTATTGTGCCACTAAATCTATTTTTTATTTTTATAAATATATTTTTTAAAATTAAAAAATCTATTCTTTTTTTGAATGCTTCTGCTATTGACAAAACTTAGCGCCAACAAAAAGAATTCAAATAAATTTTTCTAAAAAAAAGAAGTCCCGAAGAGAGTTTCTATTTACTTAAACTTAACTCTTTTTCTGTGATTGAATAATTGGATTTATTAATTTTGATTTCAAAGTAATTTTATTAATAATATTGTACTTTTAAAAAGTCATAAAGAAAATTGAAATATTGGGCGAGTGATTATATATCCTGCGCTAAGTTCCCAAGGTGCGAGCTAAACTTATTTAATTAATCTATTTATGCCTACCAAACCCAACAAATCAGCACTCCTAGCACACAGCTTACCTCTAGTGACTTCAAAACTAGTGTGAGAATGTCTCGAACTTCTCAAAGATCTTGCTGAAAGGAACAGGGTTAACTTAATATGAATCCCAAGACACAGCGGATTTAAGGGAAACGAGGAAACCATTGAACTAGCCAAAAAAGGGTCAGCCTCATACTATATTAAGTCAAGATTTTGCGATCCATCAAGTAGCTTTTTAAAACTTTAAATTAATGAATTGCTGGAAAAAACAGCTTAAACTTATTAGGGAAATGTAATTGCCTGCAGATAGGCTAAAGAATGAATGTCAAATCGATCAAAAGCCAGAACTAGGGAACTACTAATGCTGAACAGAAAAGGCATCGGACTTGTCACAGGGTTTCTTAGTGGACTTTGCGGAGTCAAAATATATCAATCGAATCTAGGTATTATAAGAAACGATAGCTGCGGACTTTGTCACGAAGAAGAGGAAACAGTAGAGAACATTCTATGTCACTGTGATAGTCTCGCCTTTGGTCTTAGACTGTGATACTTTGGTTAACTGCCTATCTACTTATAACAGAAATAGGCATAATTTCTCCAAGAGACATAATGGCATTTTTAACTACTATGTGCCTATAGAACTAAAGTGGGTTTGTTACAATTATCTTCAATGGATATAGTGACGTCGTGACATAGTTTTCAATGATTTCAAAATCTAATTTAATTTAATACTTACAAACAGAATATCGACGGCTTAAAAATTAAGTGCTACTATCGATACGGATAAGTATCAATGTAAAGACTGGTAAGATAGCCACAACTTATCTGCTTTTATCATTACTTAAATAATTCTACATATAGTATTCTTTTATCGCCTTATATATGTATATATGCATATTTACTTAAGAGAAGAGTTATTTTAGTCAAAATATTTGGAATTTTTTTAAGAAAGGTTGATAACAATCTAGTATTATTTTTTGTAATTTTTAACTGAAGCCATTAAATTATTTTTATTATTAATTAATGGAATAAATGCTAATTAATTTGCTTCTAATCTTATTTGTGATATTTATCAAAAAATTTGATAGTTTTATTATTGTTAAATTAATGAAAATTAAATTTTAAATAATTTGTTAGATACATCGACACTTAAGCCGAATATTTTGACAGCTATATGAATGAATATGAATATATATCAGGAAACGATTTAGTGTAAGAACCTGCAAGTACCGAGTTTATTACGGTAACATGTAGACTGTAACCACTTTTTGGGTTGTCGAAAGCTGTTGAGTCCGTAACTACCGACAGTTGTATTCAATCGGAATTAAAAAATAACTGGCGATATCGTAATAGCTGTAATAATAAAAAAGTTGATCCTATCTGAAGAAACCAATGCAAAGCTACAGATTTTCTTGTGACTTTATTTTTCAAAGACTATAGATCACTAATTGCTCAGACCACTTGCGCTAACGAATCTTTCGTCTTGATCTGACTAACAAAAGCTTATGTCTACTTTCTTTTGATGATGACAACATCATGGATATATTTTTCTCTCATCTTCTTAAGACTCAGAGCTAAAAATTCTCTAGTCTTGAGTAATTGTAAGTAGCTTAAATATTAGCTGAACATTTATGTAAAAAAATTTCGGAATATTATTGAAAATAATTCTGTTAAGGTAGGGAGGATCACTTCCCAGTTCAGAGCTACCATAATAAAAATTAAACAGATTTAATAATTTATTCATATTTATTTCTTTTATTATTAGTTTTTAATATACGATTAAATATTAATATATATATTTATACTTTATTATTAAATACAAATTTTTACAATTACAATTCAACTATTGTCTTTAACAATTTACAATTTTTCTTAATTTTTATAAATTTATGTATCTTTTATTAAAGTTTGACTGCCAGTGCAAAAAGTTTTGATATTCGTGCTTTAATTCACGGAAAAATAAATTATTTTTATTTTAATTTTTTTTATTTTAAAAGAAGAAAAAAAGACTTTATGAAGTGTGCTAAAATTGGAGAACGCAAAACTTTGAAGACTTGAACGGAGTTTGGTTGGAAGAAGTATTTCATAGAGAATTACCTGGCAATGGCATTTGGATCTGTATTTATTTAGGCATTTTAATTGTTTATATAAAAATAAAATCTATACAAATTACGTTAAATAAAAAATCTATATCTTATTGTCAGTTATATACAGTTTTCATGTTTTTGTTATATTTTCGTTGTTAACAAAAATATATATATATATCTTTTTCTTTCTGGAAACGTTGACTTAAAGTAGTGACTATACATTTTCTGTATTCAATATATTTATAAACATATAATATATTAATTATAAATAATTATTATAGTGATTTTCAATTGAAATCTTGTTAGTTTGTTTCTGAAATTATTTTAACAATTTATTTGGGAAGGACCATTTTGCTTATATGTTATACAACAACAATAATTGTTCGCTGCACTGTTGTAATATAAATAAACAAAGGAGTTCCCTCAACTATAAATGATTAGTTTTTTTAATTTTATAGGGGATGTTGTTAAGAGTCCTTTTCGTTTTTAAATGTAATTTCCGAAACTTCATAGGCAGTTTTATTGTTCAGAGACATTAAATTATTCATATAGGAAATTTTGTTAGTTATATTTTTTTATATATAAAACAATCACAACAAGCATTAAAGTAATTAAAATAAAATAATGTTACGCGCTTGACTAAAAAGCTAATTAGTTGTTAAAAAGTGTTATTATAAATATTTTTGTTTTTCTTATATTAATTGTAAAATTAAAAACATTAATCAAATCCTCCATTAGTCGTCGTTGATATTATTAAATAAATAACATATTTAAATTGAAATAAATAAAGTAAAAGTCAAAACAAACTCCATTTTTGCATTCGTTTCAGAAATACAAATGGCATTAAAGGGCTAGTACTAATTTTCACACTAAAACTTTGCTTTCCAGCAGATCTATATGATGCACATCGCTCTCCTTGCTTATCTGGAAGCGTTCATTGAAGCGCTCTATAACGCTATATGTTAAAAAAAAAGCACTCGGTTCTTGTTATGCTTAGAGCACTTTAAATGCGCTTTCAGTAAACATGTTTTATAAAGTGCTGTTTGAAAGCACAAATCTTAAACGCAGAAATTGCGTTTCCCGCTTAGCAAAAGTGAAACACTTATTTTAAATAACATGACAATGTAAAAAAGATGTGCTATCTGCAAAGAGCGCGATACTTTGACTGTTTCTTTGGATCATATCCATAGCGCTATTGAAGCGTTTGGCTGATTGCTGGGTTGTGTAGCAATGTACACAAAAATGTGAGGATATGTAGCTTTAATAAATGTAATGCTTCCTTGTTTAATTATTTTTAATTAAAAAATAAAAATAGTTTTGTGTTTAGTTTATTTGTCGCAGTTCGTACCATTGTGCTTGGTACGATATTTTTTTGATTAGATTTATAGAATTTATTGGGTTCTCTTATGAAAGAGAAAACTTAATTCATTTGTAATTTTCAATTTTGAAATCGTTGTGAAGCAATTAAAGCTATAATCGTCAATCCTTCAATCCTCATAAGTTGTGCATTCTTGAATTCATTTTACTACAATATTTGCTTACTAGAAATATTGGGAGTTGGTTTTAAGTCTTATATTATTATTTTTCCCCCGTTAATTGCTTTTACATAGAGTATTCTCGTGCATTGCTCAGTTTCCGTTTCAAATGTTTGAAGTTTGCAGTTTGAAACGTGGATTTTGGCAGTTCGTTTGTTGTTTTTTTTTTCTTTCGATATATTAAGTTTATAGGATATTGGCTTCTAGTTGAAACCGAAATATTAACGTTAAGGAAAATTATATAATGTACCCATACCAATATAAAAAAAAGATAGGCAGTCTAAATAGTATTAAATTTCATTTACACTAACAAATAACATGCAACACATGCTCGTAAAGAACAACTAATGTGAACATTGTTAACAGGCGTATATAGAATGATATACATACAAGATCTATTTAGTAGTGTAAATGAAGTCTAAATATTAACAATAAAATATTATGTATGTACAATACTAAACGAACATACAGAATTAAATAAAAAATTCGACTAATGAAGAAGTTGTCGTAGATGAGAATTTTTCGTAGCTTCTATGCTGCTTGTGTTTTATTCTTTAAAAATATTATTCATTATCTTTATTTATTATTATAACTTTATAGTAATTTATTTAGTGTAAATTTTTGCTCTGTTTCATCGTATTATTTTATTTTATCCATTTATCGAACATAAGCAGTGTTGTAGCTTTGGCAGTTATTCGTAACTAATTTTCTAACTATAAAGAAGTCTATACATAAGGTATATATATATATATATATAAATCTAAATATATTTAAAAAAACTACTATTTTAAATATACAAAATATCTGTACAAAAGAATAATATATATATATACTTTCAGAAAGTTTTTTGTTTTTTTACTAAAATTTGTTAACTAAAAAAGCTACTTGAAATTCTCACGTTTTTTAGTTTAATTAGGTTTTGCAGGTCATATGTTTGGACCTATATTGTACACCTTATTGTGGCATTAATCAATTGTATATTATATACAACATATATAAATATTCATTTATATACATATGTCTATATGTCTATATTATGAAATCATAATTTCAATATACTTTTCTAGATAATGGTCCTGCTTCTACATACGTATATATATATATGTTGGGAGTGCCAGCATATAAATTTAGATTGTGTACATAATAGTTTAAGAAAAAATATTAATTGTCACCTTCATATTCTTTTGTTTTTCTTTTCACATTCAAAATTGATAATACAATATTACAAGCATGTGCTTGTCTGGCATTTAGTGTAATTTTTCTAACTACCTTTTTGCACATGCCGTTCACAAATTTTTTTTATCTTATAATTTCCAATATAATATTCTTACACTACTTTTTATCATTTCTTAACTAAAACTAAATTTTGTTTTCAAAGTTTTGTTTGCTAGGTATCTTACGTGCTGCTTACGACAAGTAGTCCGGTGTTGGTTCCGGCGCAGCTTCAGGATTAGTAAATAATGGGTTTGGGAATTCTGGTGGATGCGGTAAAGGTGCTAGTGTCTTCGGCCGCCTTCTGTATGCCATTAGCCAACAGGACACCGCAACAGCAACCGCAACGAGGGCCAAAAGTGCTGTTATTACTAAAGCAATTATTAGACCAACCATAGAAACGCAGATATCCTCCACGCGCTGTGCAGCTGGTTTAACTAAAAGAACAAATATAATTTATTAGTATTGTTCGTTAGATTCGAATGTTTGCAATGATTGCAATAATAATAAAACATAAAGTGTAATGATTTTTATTTAACATTGAATTTAATTTAAAATAAACTAATATTTTATTTGTATAAAATCGATTAATGTAAATGCTATAACTCGCAACAAAAACTTTCAGAAGCGGTCGGCTCGAGCTACCCAAGCAATTGATTTTTTCGAACACGAAATATTGTAACATATAAGTATGTACCCATTAATTTTCCCGATACTTTTTCACTCGATAGTTTCTTTCCATGCTTAGTTTGCGTTGAGATGAAAATACTTTATATCAAAAAACAAGCTCTTTGAAGATATTACATGAAAAATGTATATTAAATACTAAAATTTAATGTAATGGAAGTCAAAGTTATGAACTATATTTTATATACCATATGCATATTTGTTTCATGTCAACTAGAACAAATAAAACTCATAACATATAATATTTAAAACTGTAATTGCCTCTATAAGTATGTAATAGCAAATTATAAATGTAATCATGATTACAAGTAAGTATTGAAGTCCAAAGTATTTTTTAAACACACGCATATGAATAAATATTAATTGTTTCATATATTTCTATATTCACTTCTTCAATTTACGAATCACAACAACTCGAGTAAGTATTGATATTCTCGAAGTACTGAAGTCCAAAGTTTTTTTTTAAATGTACGCATATGAATAAGTATCGATAGTTTCTCGGAATACCGAATACCGAGATCTCTATATTCACTCTCTTAATCTTTACGAGTTACAACAACAATAACATAAGCATATTAGGAAACACACAGATATACCGTACATTCATTATATTTATGGATACTAATTTGTATAAAGAAGACTTTTTAAATTTAAAGAAACAAAAATTTATAATAGTTAAGTAAATTCATATAGCTGTGGTTTATGTTTTAGTTCTAAACATAGTATAACGAGTACATTATAATCCCGAAAATTTTATAAAACTCAGAATTTGTATAACGTTAATTAATACGTTGGCTTTATGTATTAACACACGGGATCGCGATTTAAATTTAATAGGGTTCAATTTCTGATACTGGCAGTGTTAAAATAAATATACATAATTAAACTAATAGATTTTTTTTAATATCATTGACGACTGATACATAATGGTACCCGAAATAGCTTTGTAACCAATTCAAAATATTCACTTAAATATGATAGACAATAGCAGAAAATAATTTAAATTTTATATTCTTATATATATTAGATTTTTAAAAAATTTCATTGAAACTTACTATTCGCGTCATTTGCACCATTACCGCTTCGTTTTTCGAATGTTAAAATTGCATTTGACGATATTGTAATTTCCTCCCGTAGTTGTCCTTCCATACCAGTGTTAGTAGCTACTGCCGTCGAATCCGTAGTAGAGTTGTCGGCAATTGAACGTCTACGTCTTCTGCCAAAAGCATTATAACCACGACAATTAACGGGTTGACATTTTCCGAAGCAAACACGTATATTGCATTGGAAACGTATATTATCACTTGAAGGGAATTTAAATGCATTGAAGTTAGCAAGAAGACTATTCGTGTCTGGATTATATTCCCAATCGCCAAATATAGATGTATCGGTAGCACATCCATTTTCATCAGTCACAATATACTCATTCTCAATGTTGTCTTCCATTGTTTTTGCTATACAGGAGCGAGCAAATCCACCATATATTGCTGAAAAGTAAAACAAATATGTTAAGTTGTTGGAACATTTTCATATACATCGTTATTTTTGACTTACTTGCTGGTTCGACATCTACTTGTAATTTGAGATTATCACCAATTTCAGCTGAGTTAATCTCTTTACCATCATACGTTATAATACGCATTTGGCAAATAGGTGGGGGACCTGTATTCGCAATGGTACCAGCTGTTGTTAACATTGATACATTAAATCCAATAGTGACATTCTTTTCACCAGTTTGGTATACACATTTAATATTATATGCTTGCGCTTTATATGTCACCAATTTCGGATGCTTTTGTATAACTAGCACAAAGCTTGCAATGTCTTTAACCGCTTGCATACCACAGCTACCGAAATGAACACGGAATATTTCAGTTCTTGGCACAGTTTCACCAGACAGGTTTACAACACGTCTACATTCTTCATCCTTGCTGTGACCTTTAACATAAAGTACACCATTAAAACCAGGTTCAGTAATATGAATCTCTACTTGTACACCATCAGCTAGACAACTGACGACCATTTCGGGTTGTGGAAAATCGGTACGGAAGTTGGTATGATTGCATACTAAGTCTGGGTTGCCAGTATAACCAGCAATACAAACGCATTGTGCACGATGGTTAATAGCATTACAGAAGGCATTTAGACCACAAGTTTTGAGAAGACAAGGATCATCGCATGTTTTAGTATCTAAATTACAGTAACGATTATCGGCACAGTCACTGTCGATTTCGCATTCAGGTCTACCTTCTGGTATACATTCTCCAGATGAGGTAAGACGATATCCGTGATTTATAGGACATATGCAGCGGCCACGTTCATCAATTACCATTCCTCTTTCTAAAGCACAAACACAGTGTCCTGTTTCATCAATTTTAAATCCTTGCTCAATTATACAAGGTGTACAATATTCGTATATATCTAATGCACTGCCAGGTGGGCAAACACATTGACCATCAATATCTCTCATAAAACCTTTTTCAACGACACAAAGAGACCGTTTGTCACATTGTACAGCAGCATTACCAGTATAACCTTTTAAGCATTCACATACCATTGTACGTACGGGAACTGTATCTAGTACACGACATATAGCATTTACACCACATGGTTCAGTTGCATTACAAGGATTTACACATTCGCCACGAATGCATGCAGTTTGACTGTGACAATCACCATCATAACGGCAAATAGGTATTTCGCGTAGAGGCTCACAGCCGTTGCGCCTAGCAATTGTACCCGGCGGACAAGCACAATTTGGACGATGTTGATAAACTTTACAAATTTCATCGATTGCACATACTGCCGTTGTATCACACGGACTTTCACATTTACTATTTATGCAAGCTTTGTCTAATGGACAGTCGCTATCCGTACGACAACCTATTTGTGTACAGGATATGCGCGCGTTGCCACGGAAACCTGGTGTACATTCACAAACGGCACGATGATTTACAGCAATACATTCAGCGTTCCTACCGCATTGTTCTCCTTGGCAAGCAGGAACACAAAGTTGATTTCTACAAGCATGCGTAGATGGACAATCAGAATTTATAGCGCATTCTACCTTTGAGCATTCAAACTCAGGATTTCCTTCATAACCTTGACGACAAGTACATACAGGTTTGTGATCTTTAATACGACATTCGGAATTTACTCCACAATTACATGGATTACGGCAAACACCACTAAGACAAGATTTTTCCGCATCACAGTCTGAATCTGATATGCAACCACCTACTTCAATTACAGTTTTTGTAGGCTTACAGGTGCCACTACCGCTACTTACATAACCATCAGGACAGACACATATCATTGTTCGTACTGGAGACGTTGGTGTAACTTGGCATTCCGCAGGCTGGTTGCAAGGCTCCACTATTAAGCATGGATCGACACATTCATCATTAATACAAGCTAATCTAGAGGGGCAATCAGTGTCAAGCTTGCATGTTGGCTGCGGTTCTGGAGTGCAATCAACATACGGATTACCTAAGAATCCAATTGGACAACGACACACGGCCATATGATTTTGTGAACGACATTCTGCCCTTGGTGAACATGTATTATGATACACGCATGGGTTTACACATTGTTCATTTTGGCACATCTTATCAGAAGGACAATCGCTGTTTGATAAACATCCAATTACACGACAACGTTCGTAAGCATTGCCTCTATAACCACTCTTACAGCGACACATAGCACGGTTTGATTGGGTATAGCATTCAGCATTTATACCACAAGGATCATTGACAAGACAAGGATTAATGCAATCACCATTTATACAAGCTTTACCTGAGTCGCACTCACTATCTATACGGCAACCAATCGTACGACAAGCGGAGTAAGGATTACCTTCATAGCCAACTTGACAAGAGCATGTTGCACGATGATTCTGAACATTACAAACCGCATTTGTACCACAATTGCAAGGATTTCGACATTGTCTATTTATGCAGGCCTCCTGATCATTACAATCAGCATCTGAGCTACAGCCTGGAGGACTTTGCAGCACGATTTGCTTGCACTCGCCATGAACATCAGGTACATATGATTCTGGACATTCACAAACCATAGTTCTAACTGGTATGCTATCTAGAACACTACATTTAGATGAAGAAGCACATGGAGATAGCTCCAAACATGGGTTTTGACATTTGTTATCGATGCAAGCAAGGCGGCTTGGACAATCACCATCATTTTGACAAACTGGTTCAACAGGTCGACGTTCACAATATGCATATGGATTACCTAGTGGTATATATTCAGGGCAGCGACAAACTGCTTTATGCTGCAACGTTTGACAAACAGCATTTTGAGCACATGGGTTTTCGTTGCATGGATTTACACATTGATTTTTAATACAGGCTTGATGGGAGGCACAATCATAATCCGAGTGACACTCTAATCGCAAGCAACGTACGAATGGATCGCCCTCTAGACCCGCTGGGCAACGACATGTAGGACGGTGATTGCGTCCATAACATTCTGCATTAACAGCACAAGGATCGGAAACTAGACACGGATTCACGCATTCTTGATTTATACATTGAGCATCAAGAGCACATTCATCATCTGACTGACAGCCGATTTTTATACAACCAAATTGAGCATTGCCTGAATATCCTGATTTACAGTAACAGATAGGATGATGATTACGTACAATACATTCTGCGTTACTACCGCAGTTGCAAGGATTGATACAACGTTCGTTGACACAAGATTCTGACAGAGGACAGTCAGCATTTGATTTGCAACCAATAGTAGACACATCGACAGCTGTTAATTAAAAATTGTTAAAATGTTATTATAATTAAAATTTTTAGCTATAAAACAAAAACTTACGAGGTATGCAGTTAATCTTTGGGTTACCAGTATATCCTGGTGGACAGCGACAAATAGCTTCTCTATTTTGTACATGACAATAAGCCCCTCGTCCACAAGAATCTTCAATACAAGGATTAGTGCAGCGTTCATTGCGACAGGTTTTATCGTTAGGGCAATCATCGTTTTTAATACACTCAGCTCCGGGAGTTTTTGGTTCCTCATGGACTGGTAAAAATTTTTTTATTAATTCATTTTATTAAATAAGTATTAAATTTCAAAGAATGTAGTTATTGATGATTTTATATACTTACTTATAAGATGACATTCAATTCTGGGATTGCCTTCATATCCACGTGCACAACTGCAATCAGCATAGTGATCCCGTGAACGGCATTGTGCATTTACACCACAGTGTTCCAAACGACAAGCGTCAATACAAACACCACGTTGACATATTTCCGTATTTTTACATTCTTCATTGTGTTGACAACCACTGATCACATCATGTCGGATTGGTACACAATTGCCAGAGTTGTCGGTGACAGTATCACTAGGGCATTTGCAAATCATGGTACGCAAAGGAATAGTATCCAATACAGTGCAAGTTTGTTGTGGTGTGCAAACATGTGGCGTTGCACAAGGGTTAGCGCAATGCTGATTGATACATGCTAATTTAGTTGGACATTCTGAGTCTTGTATACACTCTGGCTTTGGTTTTGGTGGTTCGCGGGGTAGCGAACATTCAACAAATGGATTTCCAATATAGCCAATATTGCATTCACAATGTGGTTGATGAGCTCTTCCAATGCAAACAGCATTTCTGGTACACGTATCATCATCACATACCGGACGACAAACACGATTAAGACGATCGCATGCTTCATGATCAGCGCAATCATCATTATATTGACAGTGACCAGTTATGCAGGAAACGAAAGGATTGCCCTGTGTGCCGGGTGGACAAATGCAAACAGCTTGATGATTTTGTGGGGCGCACTGAGCTCCGTTTCCACATCGAACCTCTCCATAAATACAAGGATTAACGCAGTTATTACTAATGCAGGCTTTGTCATAGGGACAATCTGCATTAACCTTACACTCAGCTAAAAAATTCAATTGATAATAAAGGAAAGGTAATTTGTAAAGTTTAAAGCTTAAAATTTGAACATGTGAACACTTACGTTTGTAGCATTGCACTTGAGGATCACCGCCCCAACCTGCTGGACAGTAGCAAATTGGACGATAGTTGAGTACTCGACATTCAGCATTACCAGCACATGGGTTTGCCTCAGCACAGGGATCTTGACAACGTTTGTTGATGCATGCTGTCGTTGGTGCGCAATCTGAATCATGAGTGCAACCAGCTGTTATTTGAGTTGCTGCAAAAATAAATCGTAAATATCAGGTTAGGTTTATAATAATACTTAGTCATGGCTTAATAAAAACATCTGTTTATGTAGCTTACGTTGATAGCAATTTACAAATGGATCTCCTTGAGTACCCTGTGGACACGAGCATATGGCACGATGATGTTGAGCCAAACATTCAGCGCTACGAGAGCAAGGCGATGCATCTGTACAGGGATTTACGCAGACAGTATTGCGGCAGGCATCAGTAGACGGACATTCATCATTTGATTGACAGCCGTGATCTCGTACAGGTTCTATCACAGAAATAAAAAAATTGAAAACATTTTTTTAACAGACAAAAACCAATGTATTAATATATGAGACATATGGTTATAAAATTTGAAGTGCATTTTGCAAAAATATTATTAAGTTAACTTTGAAGTTGCTACAGTACTATGTACATACGATAAAAATTTATATTTACAAATGCAGCTGTAATGACAAAATATAAACTCAAATAAAAATATTATTACAAGAAATAAACTTTTAGATTTTATTCTAGCATACCTTTACGACAACCAACATCGGCATCACCTATATAACCTTGCTCACATTCACAAAGCATTGTTCTTAACGGCAGTGTATTGACAACGGAGCAAATGGCATGTACTCCGCAAGGCTTAGTTACACCACACGGATTTTTGCATTCACCATTAAAGCAAGCCAATTTACTACTGCAGTCCGCATCCGTCGTGCATTGTGGAATAATTTTGGTTTCTTCAATATCGCATTTGACAAGTGGATTACCTATATAGCCAGGTGGGCAGCGACATTTTGCTTGATGGTTATCTACGCGACACTGTGCGCCTATACCGCAATTGCATGGATCTTCGCACCTTTCATTGCGGCAAGCTAAATGGAAGGCACACTCATCATCTCTGGTACATTCAGGACGTTCGCACCGTATCAGTGGATTGCCACGATAACCATCCGGACAATAGCAACGAGCTTTGTGGTTATAGTCAGTTCGGCAAACAGCATTTGTACCACATTGTGTATATGGGCATGGATTTGTACATTGTTTATTGATACAGGCTTCTGTAGCTGGGCACTCCTCATCAGAGCGACAGCCAATAAGATAACAGTAATTAAATGCATTGCCAGTATAACCTTAAATAGAGAATAATTTTATAAGTTTAAAACCAATGCAAAATTGTTCGTCATACGATTTACCTTCATTACAAACACAAAGTGGTCGATGGAGTTGTACATGACACCGTGCGTTTTGTCCACAAATGTTTGATAACTCACAAGGATTTTTGCATACTTCGTTGACGCATGCCTTGTCGTTGGAGCAGTCGTTATCAGTCACACATTCTGGTTTTGGTATCGGTGCTACTTCAATTTGTTGCACGCATTGATTATATGGAGAACCATAGAATCCGACTGGACATGTGCAAATTGCTTTATGATTAATAGTATTACATAGAGCGTTTAATCCACATGCGTTTATGCAAGGGTCACGGCATTTTTGATTGGTACAAGCGCGATCACGTGCACAGTCCTCGTTTGTAACACATTCGGGATATGTACATGTGGCGGCATTGTTGACAACCCGACAAATGCCATTGATTCGACATGGTGACGGAATGCAGGGGTTAAGTGGTTCAGCTTGTTTTGGTTGATGGCACTCAACGAATGGATTGCCTACCATTGTGGCAGGGCAATTACATATGGGATTGTGATTTACTGTTCGACATTCTGCACCATATCCACATACACCTGGACATGGATCTACACACTTCGTATTAACACACGCTTTATCCTTTGGACAATCTGAACTAAGAGTGCATTCAGGACGGCAACCTTGTCCAATTGGATTGCCAAAGAAACCTGGCAAACATTCACATACAGCTTGTCCATTTTGTGATTTGCAGATAGTATTTACACCGCATGGTGTAGGGTAACATGGATCAACTGTCTTCGTTGGTATATCAGTTATAATAATTGGCGAACATTGTGCAAACGCATTGCCAGTGTAGCCATGTGGGCATGAGCACATTGGTACGTGGTTATTAACGTTACAAATAGCTTCAACACCACAAGTACCAATGCAGGGATCAGCGCATTTACTGCGGATGCAAGCACGATTTGCTGAACACTCAGAGTTTCCAACACATTCCGGACGACAGCCTTCATATGGATTTCCAATATAGTCGTTTATGCAATCACAAGTAAAGATATTTCCTTGAACTCTGCAGTTTGCATTTGCACCACATGGTGATGGTCGACATGGATTTTTCGGTTCTGTTGGTTTAGCTGAAAAAAATTATATATATAAAATAATTTAAATAGTGATCGTTAATAAAAATATTAATAATGCAAACTTGTTGTCTTGTATTGGCCTTACTTTTTGAAATTTCGTAACACATACGGAATGGATCACCAGTCATTGTTCCTGTACAATAACAGTTGGGTATATGTAGTGTTACTTTGCAGTCAGCATTATACCCACAAGAACCAGGACAAGGATCTTGACATTTACGGTTTACACACGCTAAATTATTAGGGCAGTCATCGTTATTAGAACATTCAGGACGACAGTTTGGCGGAGCGCCAATGAAGTCACTAAGACACACACAACTTGCTTGGTCATTATTATTAGAGCATTGTGAGTTCGGGCCACAAGGAGAAGGATAGCATGGATCCTTTATTTTAGGTTTTTGTTGAATATCTAACAAAAATTAATTTATTGCAGTGAGTTCAATACAAAAAAGGTTAAATTAGTTTTTCTATGTTACCCGTACTTAGAATTAAAACGTACCTATTAATGAACATAATGTGTAAGGATTACCAGTAAATCCTCGAATACATTCACAATGTGCTCTATGCTGCACTGATTGACATTCAGCATTTAAGCCACATTTACCAGGGCATGGATCGACACATTTATTATTCACACAAGCATGAATTTGTGCACAATCTGAACTGGTGTAGCATTCCAAGCGACAATTTGGTGGATTACCTATATAACCAGTTACACACGAGCAAACAGCTTCATTGTTACGTTCGATGCATTGTGAATTCGGGCCGCATGGTGATGGTTGACAAGGGTTTTTGGGTATGATATCACGCATCGGTTCACATGCTACAAACGCATTTCCAGTCATGCGTTCAGGACAGCGACACATTGCGACATGATTTGTTATCTCACATATAGCGTTAATTCCACATATGCCTGGGCAAGGGTCCGCACATTTATTGCGAATGCACGCACGATCACGTGCACAATCCGAATTTAAAATACATTCTGGACGACAACCAACTGTTGGATCCCCATAGTATTCTGGTAAGCAAGAACAAATTCCGTTTTTACAAACTGTGTTGGGACCACAAGGTGAAGGTATGCACGCATCAACAGGTTCAGCTGCAAAATTAATTATACGTAAAAAATAATAAGGGCTTTTAAGGCTATTTAGCATACGTGTAGAACTTGGTGGAGGAGTTGGTGGTAATAAACGACAGCTTGTAAATGGATCACCTGTAAAACCATTGGGGCACGAGCAAGTAGGTGTGTGGTTTATTACATTGCAGATGGCATCAAAACCGCAAGAACCAGGACATGGATCACGACAACGCTCATTAATACAGGCCATATTGCTGGCACACTCAGCGTTAATAGTACACTCTGGTCGACAATTTGGCGAGGAACCTATATAGTTTGGTAGACAACTACACAAAGGCGCACCGTTTATTTCTCTACATTGAGAGTACGGACCACAAGGAGTTGGAACACAAGGGTTTCTTGGTGGCTCAGTACGATTTTGCATTGCTGTAAATTTAAAAGTTTGTAAGTTCGCTGTTTCAGATAACTATAAATGATTAGTGCTCACGTGGAATAAGATAACAACGTGTGAAAGCTTCTCCAGTAAAGCCAACTTTGCAGGAACATAGTGGACTATGACTTCTCACGTGACATTCAGCATTTATACCGCATGCGCCTGGACAGGGATCTTTGCATTTTTGATTTATACAAGCCTTATCGGAGGGACATTCTGAACTGATAACACATTCCGGACGGCAAGAAGGCGGACTGCCAACAAATTCAGGTAAACAAGAACATACCGCTTGACCGTTTAATTCCCGACACTGAGCATTGGAACCGCAGGGAGATGGTTGACATGGATTTTTGTATACCGGTGGTTCAGCTGTATTTATAATTTAGTAAAAATATGTCATTTAGTAAAAATAAATAAAATTTTTACCAAAAAGCATTTAACTCAAAGCTATCAAATATAATATCAGCAAGCAAAGAAGCAAAATACATCTCTTATTTTAAGCGGTTTTTAAGCGAGCGATAAGCGTATAGAAATTATTATATTTAACTTAATATATATTAACTTATATAATCATATTATAAATAAATAGCAAATTTATTAAATAAAAATTATAAAGACTTATTTTTTGGAAAGGTATTATTGAGAGTCTAGTTGCGGACAAACAAGGGTTAGGCAAAATTTAAAGCAAATAAATTCGTTGAGAGAGAAAAAGATTGAGTTTTGCATTGTGTTATGTTATTTCTTTTATATCTTACGTTCATTGTATGCAAGTGTGCATAATGTGAATGGATTTCCTATATAACCTGATTTGCAAATACAATTAGGTACATGGGCAACAACCTGACAGAAAGCATCAATTCCACACAAGCCAATGCATGGATCAATGCATCTCTGATTTTGACACACTTTTTCTGCTGTACAGTCTGAGTTTCTAATACATTCAGGCCTGCAGACCTCGTACGGATTGCCAAAGAAATCAGGTAAACAAATGCAGGTACTTAAGCCATTTCGTGGTTGGCATATAGCATTCGCACCACATGGACTTGGATTGCACGGTACAACAACAGCTGTGGGTGGCTGTTGGAGACGTGTGCACAATACAAATGGATTTCCTGTATAATTAGGCGGGCAATAACACATAGCAGAGTGAGCTATTACGCGACATTCAGCAGCTTCACCACATGATCCAGGACATGGATCAACGCATTTACGATTAATACAAGCTTTATTTTCGGCACAATTTGCACTATTCACACACTCCGGACGACAATTCGGAGGTGTGCCGATAAACTCCAATAAACATGAGCACTTCGCCCCATTTGGAGTTTCACTGCATTCGGAATTAGCACCGCATGGCGAAGGTATGCATGGATTAGTAGGTTTTTTATCATGTACTGGTATTTTAACCGCTGTAACTGATTTTGAAATACTTGTTAACAATTTATTTTTTATTTGTTGCTGTAGTAATAAATACCTATTGGATTACATGCTATATAAGGATTTCCTGTGTAATCCGAAGGACACGTACAGATAGGATTGTGGTTTTGTGCCCGGCAGTGGGCATTTACGCCACACGTTCCAGCACAAGGATCTTGACATTTTGCATTTAAACAAAATTTATTAAGTGCACAATCTGAACTTGTTGTGCATTCGGGTCTGCAGAATGGAGGAGCACCTACAAACCCGGCTAAGCAAGAACACACCGCCAGATGGTTTATATCGCGACATACAGCATTAGCACCGCAAGGAGACGGTTGGCAAGGTAAAGTAATTGTATTATTCGGTATTGATAGAGCTATAATAAATATTTATTAACACTAAGTTTTCTCAACTTCTAATAACAATTAAACATACGTGGTAAGGGATCACAACGTGTAAAAGGGTCTCCATACATATTCACAGGACACGAACACATGGAAATATGATTGTATACGTTACAAATGGCTTGAATGCCACAAGTACCCGGGCAGGGATCTATACACTTTGTATTTCGACAAGCCTGTTGGCGTGAACAATCGTCATTTAAAACGCATTCTGGTCTACAGCCTATGTAAGGATCTCCATGGTATTCAGGTAAACAACTGCATTGCCCATTACTACATTCAGTGTTTGGACCACAAAATGATGATGCACATGGATCGTTCAATGGTTTATGTTCTATTGGTTTCAATATTTGAAGTCGACAGTTACTAAATGGATCACCAACATATCCAGATAGACATCTACAGTTTGGCACGTGGTTTAGAACATTACATTCTGCATTCAAACCACACGAGCCTGGGCAAGGATCTTGACATTTCTGATTAACGCAAGTGAAATGCATTGGACAGTCAGAAGGTACCAAACATTCTGGACGACAATTTGGTGGGCTACCGAAATAATTTGATAAGCAAGTGCAAACAGGAACGTCGTTTCGTGTGTGGCATTGAGAGTAAGGACCACATGGCGATGGATAACACGGATTTATCGTTGGTGTTTTTATATCTATAGGCTGAGGAGCTATATTATAATAATAAATTATAAATATACAATGAAAACGTTATGGTATTTTTATTCCGAGGTCTTACATGGCATTATGAAGCAGTGTGTAAAAGGATCTCCTGTATAATGATTTTTGCATGAACATATAGGATTGTGATTAAGAACGCGACATTCTGAATTTTCACCACAAGCGTTAAGACAGGGATCACCACATTTTCTGTTTATGCATGCTTTGCTTAGCGCGCATTCAGCATTTGTGGTACATTCCGGATGACAGTTTGGTGGTACTCCGAGAAAATCTATTAAGCAACTGCAAACAGCTTGATGATTTACATCTTTACATTGGGAGTTCGGGCCACACGGTGAAGGTTTACAGGGATTTAGATTACTTATTTTCACTAAACAATAAAAATGATCAGATAGATGAGAAGTAGTTCAAGTTTTCTTGTTAGTTTATGCCTTACTTTGTTCGTGTAATTGGCGATTGCAAATATTAAATGGATTTCCGGTGAAATCAGGCAGGCATATACAATTCGGTACATGATTATTAACATAACATTCAGCATTTTGACCACAGACTCCTGGACATGGGTTTCTGCACATATTTTGCATGCAAGCTTTATTGGAAGGACAGTCACTGTTGAGCACACATTCTGGCCGACAACCGTGATAAGGATCACCAAAATATTGAGGCAAGCATACGCAATGTGCTTTATTACCTGCACTACGGCATTCTGCATTATGACCGCAAGGATTCGGACTACAAGGATTTATATGATCTGGCTGTGATGGCAACTGAACGGGCTGTTCACATAGTGTGAATGGATCACCAACGAATCCAAGCAAGCATACGCAGTTTGCTATGTGATTAATAGTGTGACATTTACTGTTTAAGCCACATAAACCTAAACAAGGATCTTTGCATTTTTGGTTAACACAAGCCTTGTCGGAAGCGCATTCTGAATTAGATATACACTCCGGGCGACAGTTCGGTGGAGTATTTATATAATCAGGCAAGCAAGTGCAGGATGGGGCACCATTAACATTCTGGCAAAGCGCGTAAGGTCCACATGGCGATGGTTGACAAGGATTTCTATCTTCTTCTTGCAATGGTTTCACTATAGCAATTACACACAATTATTTACTTATCAAACTTTGTAAGGGCCTTAATTATACGTACTAATGATAGGTTGACATAAAGCATATGGACTGCCTGTGAAACCGCTTGGACAACTACATTTCGGAATATGGTTGACCACATCACATTGTGCTTTATAACCACAAGTACCAGGACAAGGATCTTGGCATTTACTGTTTATACAAGCACGATTTAATGAGCATTCAGAATTTGATATACATTCAGGTCGACAAGCTGGAGGTATACCGATCATGCCAATTAAACAAGAACATATTGCATGGCCATTTACTTCTCTACACTGTGCATTTGCACCGCATGGTGATAATTGGCATGGGTTTTGTACACGCACCGGATCAGCTGCTTTTAAAGATTCATTATTTTAACTAATAACAACTATTTATAAACTAAATATTTACATAGAATTGGTTGACAGTATATTAAAGCGTTGCCATTCATATTTTCGGGGCAACGACATAATGGTACATGGTTGTGCACATCACAAATTGCATTAACACCGCACATTCCGGGACATGGGTCTTTACATTTTTGGTTAATGCATGCTTTTGTACGTGGGCACTCGCTATTCAAGATACACTCAGGGCGACAGCCAGTGTAAGGGTTACCTTGATATTCATCTAAACACGTGCAAATGCCTGTTTCACAACGAGCATTAACACCACATGGATTTGGATAACAAGGATCTTCAGCAATAGGTTTAGCTATAACAGGTTATAATGGAAAGTAAAAGGTAAATTTAGATAACGTACGTAAGTTGTTTTTGGTATCTTACAAGGTTTTATCGGCATTATTTCGCAATTTGTGAACGGATCACCAATATAACCAGAAATACAATAACACGACGGTATATGGTTGATAACATTGCAAATGGCATTAAGACCACAAGAACCAGGGCACGGATCACGACATTTTTCATTTATACAAGCTCTGTCACTAGTGCAATCAGAATTGAGCACGCATTCAGGACGGCAATTTGGTGGCGCATCAACGTAGTTTTTCAAGCAAGAGCATTGCGGTTGATTATTAATAACTCTACATTCGGAGTGCGGGCCACATGGTGTTGGAATACATGGGTTTCGATAAGGTTCACGAACTGGAGGGGGTGATGGCAAAATTGGATAACAACGCGTAAAAGCATCTCCTGTGTAACCGGGTTGGCAAATACACAAAGGACTATGGTTCCGTACTCTACAATTAGAGTTTATTCCACAAGTATCTATACAGGGATCAACACATTTTCTATTGATACAAGCTCTGTCTGATGTACATTCTGAACTTGATGAGCACTCGGGTCGGCATAAGGGTGGACTGCCAATGTACTCAGGCAAACATGAACAAACTGCTTGATTATTCTTTTGCCTACATTCGGAATTGGGACCACATGGGGAGGGAGCACAACTATCAACATATTGCAATTGGGCTGTTTAAAGAATATATGTTTAAATACATATTGTTTTAAATATATAAAAGCAATGTTGTAGAAAAAAAATAAATACATATGTCTGTACTAAATATAGCGTTAAAAAATCAATTGATAAATCAAACTAAATTTAATTTTTAAATTCAAATGTGTCTTACGTTCTTTAAGTATACTGCAGTAATCGTAAGGATTTCCAGTGAAGCCATTGACGCAACTACATACAGGTAAGTGATTGATGACATCACAATGAGCATTATGCCCACATACACCAGGACAGGGATCAATACACTTTGTGTTTCGACAAGCCTTACTTAATAAGCAATCTGCATTCAATAGGCACTCAGGTCGACAACCTTCATAAGGATTGCCATAGTAATCAGGTATGCATTGGCAGGCGCCTGCATTATTTTGTTGTGTACATATGGCATTGCTTCCACATGGACTGGGCATACATGGGTTTATTAGTTCACGTTCAATTATTGGTTGTGGATAGCATTGTGTAAACGGATCTCCTATGTATCCATTTATACATAAACACGACGGAGTGTGGCTTATAACTTGACAAGTTGCAGATATTCCACATACACCTGGACAAGGATCCTGACATTTCATGTTAATGCATGCCAAATTGCTGGCACATTCCGAAGAGGATAAGCATTCTGGTCGACAGTTAGGCGGTGTTCCTACAAAATTGACTAAGCAAGCACATGACGGTGTGCCGTTAACATCAGTACAAATTGAATTGAGACCACATGGTGACGGTATGCAGGGATTAGTCGGTTCAGGTATTGGCGGCAAAGCTAACCGTTGACAAGCACTAAAAGCATCTCCAGTAAATCCATTTGGACATGTGCAAAAAGGTACATGGTTAACTACAAGGCAACGTGCTTTTAAACCACAAGTGCCTGGACATGGATCTCGACACTTTTGATTGACACATGCCATGTTAGGTGGGCAATCTGAATTAATACTGCATTCAGGTCGACAATTAGGGGGACTTCCTAAATATGTTGGCAAACAAGAACACACAGCTTGTTCATTTATATCACGACACTGTGCATTTGGACCGCATGGGTGTGGTTGGCATGGAGTAGCTACTTTGGGTGGACCTATGTCAACATTTTTATTATTATTTAATTTAACATTTCTATTATTCTGTTATAATTACTTTCAAGTTTTGTGCACTGTAAAAATGCATTTCCTAACATATTATCAGGACATCTACACATTGGCACATGGTTATAAACCTCACAAATTGCTCCAATACCACAAGTTCCCGGACAAGGATCTATGCACTTGTTATTTATGCAAGCCTTGTCACGACTGCAATCAGTATTTAATACACACTCTGGATGGCATCCAACGTAAGGATTTCCTTCATATTCAGACATACACGTGCATTCACCATTATTGCAAATAGCATTTGAACCACATGGAGTTGGATTACAAGGATCTTTCAAAGGAACTAGATAATTGAATATTAATATTAATAAAGATATATTTTTTAATTTGTTCATACTTTGGTCTTCAATAGGTTTAATTGAACAGTAAGCAAATGGATCCCCTATATAATTTGAAGGGCAACTACATATAGGTCTATGATTTACGACATCACACAATGCTGAAACTCCACATGATCCTTGACAAGGATCTCTACACTTTTCACTTATGCAAGCTAAATTCGCAGAGCAATCAGCATTTATTGTACATTCCGGTCGACAATTGGGTGGAGCTCCAATATAGTTCGGAAGGCAAGCACAAGATGCTTGGTTATTTATATTTTGACATTGGGCATAAATACCACATGGCGATGGAATGCATGCGTCATGATATTTATCTTTTAACGGAATTGTTGGAGGAGCTAATAATTTGAAGAATAATATTATTAATTATTCATTAAAAAAATTTATAATTGATCTTACGGGGTATAGGTGTACATTTTGTAAATGCATCACCTGTGTATCCAGACCGACAGACGCAATATGGACTGTGGTTACGTACGTGACACATTGCATTATTACCGCATATGCCAATACAAGGATCTATGCATTTAAAATTAACGCAAGTCTTATCAAGAGAGCATTCGCTTGGAGTTGTGCACTCCGGGCGACAAGCAGGTGGCGCACCGACATATTCTTGTAAGCACGTACAGACAGCTTGCTGATTTACTTCTCTACAAACCGAGTTTGGACCACAAGGAGAAGGTTGGCAAGGATTAACGATTTCTATTACAGCTGAACAAAAAATAAACAAAGCTTATGTAAATAAAGTTCGCAATTTAATGCATTTAAACTTACGCTCCCTCAAAATATTACAATAGCTATATGGATCTCCAGTGTATCCGCTCAAACACAAACAATTTGGTACATGATTGCTAACATGGCACTCAGCATTTCTACCGCACGTTCCAGGGCATGGATCGTTGCATTTATTTCTTAAGCACGAAAGGGTTAAAGGACAATCAGAGTTTATTACACACTCTGGGCGACACCCTTCGTAAGGATTTCCAACAAACTCTGGTAGGCATTGACAAGTTCCAGCGTGGTTTCGTTGTATGCATTCTGCATTTGAGCCACAGGGATTTGGATCACAGGGTTTTAATACTTCTTTTTCAACATCGTCTCTAATCACATCACAAAAACTAAATGGATTTCCACTATAACCAGTCGCACAAACGCATGTGGGTGAATGATTATAGACATGACATTCTGCATTTGTACCACATACACCGACACAAGGATCTTTACATTTGTTATTAATACAAGCTTTGTTATTTGAGCATTCTGAATTGGCTACACATTCTGGCCGACAATTTGGAGGCAAACCAACAAAATCTTTTTTACATGTGCACGAAGGTGCAGTTCCAATACTTCGACATTCGGAATTCGGGCCACATGGAGATGGATTACAATAATCCGTGGGGATGTCAAGTTGTGTTTGAACTAAAATATTTTAAAATAAATGAAATAAACCTTAACATGAATAGAATAGAATATACTTCTAATTGGTTGACATGCAACAAAAGGATTGCCTGTGAAAGAGTTTTCACAGCGACAAATGGGCGCATGATTAATAACTTTACAAACTGAATGCGTGCCACAAGCTCCTGGACATGGATCCCGACACTTCATTTGAAGACATGCAAGATCAAGCGCACATTCAGCATTATTAATACATTCCGGACGGCATGAGGGGGGTGCGCCAATATAATCAGGTAAACAGGAGCACACTGCTTGCTGGTTTATAACACGACATTGTGAATTTGGTCCACATGGTGAAGGTTGGCATGGATTCAGTATAATTTTTGGTGCCAATTGTACACATAAAGTAAATGGATTGCCTGTCATACTTTCGCCACACTCACAGATAACTACGTGGTTGCGTACTGCGCAGATAGCATTTGATGCACAAGCTCCTGGGCACGGATCTAAGCATTTGTTGTTGGAGCATACTTTATTAGTAGCGCAATCGTTGTTATGAACACATTCTGGACGACACCCAATATTCGGATTTCCATAATATTCATCAACACATTTGCATACTCCATTTAAGCACACTGTATTCGGTCCGCAAGGAGAAGGATAACAGGAATCATGTTCGATTTCTGGTGGTGGAGGTGGTGGAAGATGACACGACATAAATGGGTTCCCACTATATCCAGTTATACATTGACATATTGGTGTGTGATTTATAGTATGGCATACAGCGTTAAGACCACAAGCACCAGCGCAAGGATCACGACATTTTTCATTGATACATACTTTAGTTGTAGGGCAATCTGAATTTACAATACATTCAGGTCTACAATTTGGAGGAACGCCGAAATACGATGGGAGGCAAGAACAAGACGGACTGTTATTAATATCGCGACATTCGGCGAACTGACCACAAGGTGAAGGCACGCAAGGATTGCGAACATCGGGTTTGAGTGGAACTTGCGGTGCTATTATTTAAGGGGTAAATTTATTATTACTGAAATGATAGAATATATAAAATCTTACGAGGTATTGGATAACATCTCGTAAAAGAGTTGCCTGTAAAACCAGTTCGACAAATGCAAATAGGAGAGTGATTTCTCACACGACAATCTGCATTTATGCCACATACATCGCTGCAAGGATCTACACATTTGTGATTAACGCAGGCTTTGTCTATATTGCATTCGGAATTTGTTGTGCATTCAGGACGACAAGTAGGTGGATATCCCACAAATGAAGGCAAACATGAGCAAACTGCTTTTTCGTTCACAACGCGGCACTGTGAATTCGGTCCACATGGAGTTGGGATGCAAGGATTAGAATATTCTTTTACGACAGCTGTAAAACAATTAATATAATTTTCATCTACGAGTTTGCTTTTAAACATATTTTTACGAACTTACGATCTTTTAAAATTTCACAGTATTTATAGGGATCACCAATAAAACCGTTAATGCAGTTGCAAGTCGGTAAGTGATTAATTACTTTGCAAATTGCATTTAAAGCACAAATACCTGGACAAGGGTCAATGCACTTATTATTTTGACATGACTTATCAGACAAACAATCTGAATTTAGAACACACTCTGGCCGACAACCTTCGTATGGATTACCGAAATAATCTGCTAAACATCGACAAGATCCAGCATTACCAAGCTGTAGACACTCAGCATTTGCTCCACAAGGACTCGGCTCGCATGGATTAGTTACACTTATTTGCTTTATAGGTTCCGATGAGCAACCTGTAAATGGATCTCCAGTAAAGCCGGGCGTGCAAGTGCACATGGCGATATGATTAAATACACGACATATAGCATTTTGACCGCATATTCCAGGGCATGGATCAACACACTTCCTATTAATGCATGCCATATTTTGCTTGCATTCACTATTCGTTAAGCACTCAGGATGGCAGTTTGGTGGGGATCCAATAAACTCGGGCAAACATGAACAAGAGGGCGATTCACCAATAACTTGACAATCTGCATTCAGACCACAAGGAGATGGATAACATGGATTTTGAATTTCGTCCTTTTGTGGTGGTTTAACTAAAATTGTTGTTAGGAAATAATTATTTTTTTTTTGTCGTTATGTTATTAGCGATTTGTTTTTAAGTTACTTCTGATTTGACAGCTCGAAAATGGATTTCCTTCAAAAGGTGCAGGGCATGAACAGAATGGAGAATGATTGACGACAGAACAAATGGCATTAAAACCACATACTCCTGGACATGGGTTAACACATTTTTGATTTTGACACGCTTTTTCTAATATACAATCTGAATTTCTTGTACATTCTGGACGACATGTTGGTGGGTTGCCTGAAAATCCTTCAATACAAGAGCAAACTGCATTTCCATTATAAACTCGACAACGGCTGTTAGGACCACATGGTGTAGGAACGCAGGGGTTAACCAATTGTTTATCTAAATATTTGGATGGATTTAAGTTTGAATTGCTTTTTTTTATGTATAAATTTACTTTGAACAGGATAACATTGATCGAAGGCATTACCGGACATAGCGTTTGGACAACGGCACATGGGTATATGGTTAAGAACTTCACATATCGCGTTTTGAGCACAAGTGCCTGGACAGGGATCGATGCACCTATTGCGAATACAAGCTTTGGTAGTTACACACTCAGTATTAAGAACACATTCTGGTCGACAGTTGACATAAGGATCTCCATGATACTCTGCGAGACAAGAACACTGACCATTAGTGCATACTGCATTAGTTCCACACGGCGAAGGAGTACAGGGATCATCTTTAATAGTTGGTTTTGCTAAAGGATTTTTAAAATATAATTACATATGCAAAAGTCGTAATTTTAATTGTGCTTACGAGGAGGAGCGGGTTGACATAAACTAAATGGATCTCCTATGAATTTTTCAGGGCATTGGCAAATTGGCATATGGTTTATTACAGAACAAATTGCGTTATAAGCACAGGAACCTGGACATGGATCCACACAATGATTGTTTATACATGCTAAATTTGATGAGCATTCAGAATTTGTAGAGCATTCCGGTCGACATTGTGGTGGAGCACCTCGGAAATCAGGTAAACACGAACAAGAAGCTTGTCCATTAAGATTTCTGCAATTGGAATTTAGTCCACATGGTGAAGGGAAACAAGGGTCACGAATTCGTTCAGGTTCAACAATAACAGAAGTCGCTGCTTTAAAAATATATGTTTGTTTTTAGCAAGAATATATTGGTGTTATTAAAAAACTTACGAGGAGGAATTGGGTAACAGAGAGAAAATGGATCTCCTTGGTAACCGTTTTTACAAGAGCACAGTGGCGAATGATTTCGCACCATGCAAATTGCGTTCTTTCCACAAATACCTGGGCAGGGATCAGCACATTTTTTGCTAATGCACGCTTTATTAAAATCGCATTCAGAACTTAGAGTGCATTCGGGTCTACAAGCTGGTGGACTACCTACAAATTCAGGCAAACAAGAACAAATAGCTTGATTGTTAAGCTCTTTACATTGACTGTTAGGACCGCAAGGTGATGGCTGGCATGGGTTTACAGGTTCTTCTAATTTAGCTGTAATATAAAAAGTTACTTAAAATTTTACTTAGAAAGATGTGCCACTTCCATACTTTCAATTTTAGGGGAACAGTAACTGTATGGATCACCCGTATATCCTAAAATGCAGCTACATCTTGGTAAATGGTTGTTAACGAAGCATTCAGCATTTTGTCCACAAGTACCTGGACAAGGATCGCGACATTTTTGATTAACACATGCATAATTTGACGAACAGTCAGTATTTATAACACATTCTGGTCGACAACTTTCGTAAGGATTTCCAAAGAACTCTGGTAAACATTGACATGAACCGATGCCATTTTGCTGAATGCATTGTGCGAATGCTCCACATGGATTTGGTGTGCAAGGATCAATAAATTCTGCCAATGGCTGAATAATTGGTGAACATTGTAAGAAAGGATCGCCAGTATAACCATCTTCACAGAAGCACATAGATGTATGGCTTATGGTACGACAAGTTGTCGCTTGGCCACAAAGTCCTGGACACGGATCTATGCATCGGTTATTTCTGCAAGTTTGATGTGAAGCGCATTCACTATTGCTGACACACTCTGGACGACAATAAGGTGGTTGACCGAAGAAATTTTCAAGACACGAACAAGAAGGAGCCTCACCTATTGCTCGACATTGGCTGTTTGGACCGCATGGAGACGGTTGGCAAGGATTTTCTATTTTGTCTTTAACAGGCTCTCCTATTCAAAGATATATATATGTAGTTAAAATAGAAACTGTTATCATTTCTAGGTCTTACTTATAGGTTGACAATGTATAAACGAATTACCAGTATAACCCTCAAAGCACGTACAGAATGGATTGTGATTGACTACTGTACATTTTGCATTTAGACCACACGTTCCTGGACACGGGTCAATACATTTCTGGTTTTGACATGATCGGTTTGGCGCACATTCAGAGTTCGATATACATTCAGGACGACAACTTGGAGGACTACCAATATAATTAGGTAAGCAGCTGCAAACTGCTTGTGAGTTAATTTCGCGACAATGGGCGTTGGAACCACAAGGAGATGGTTGGCAAGGATTTTTATATATATCGATAACTAAAATATATGATAAGATATAATCAATACTTAATATTTAATTTCAATGTAACAACATACTTTGTAAACGACTGCAATGTATAAATGCATTACCAGTCATCCCCTCTGAACAAGAGCACATTGGTACATGATTAACGACTGTACATACTGCGTTTGGTGCACATGTTTCAAGACATGGATCAACGCATTTATGTCGTATGCAAGCAAGTTTATGTGAACATTCAGAATTAAGAACACATTCTGGTTTGCAAGCAACATAAGCATCGCCTTCGTAGTCTGATATACATTTACATTGGCCATCACCAGAACATACGGCGTTGGTGCCACAAGGATTGGGATAGCACGGATCTTTAGGTTCATCGTATCTTTTAGCTACACACGAAGTTATATTTTAGAAAAGTTTTTCAAGAGTCAAACGCAAATTTCTTACGTGGTATCGGCGCTGGATAACAACTGCTAAACGCATCTCCAACATATCCAGCTATACAAGAACAACTGGGTATGTGATTAATTACGTCGCATATTGTATTTACACCACACGCTCCAGGACAAGGATCTTGACATTTTTCATTAATGCAAGCATGAGTACTTTGACATTCAGAATTAATTACGCACTCGGGTCGGCAATTTGGTGGACTGCCAACATAGTTTTGCAAACAAGAGCACGATGGGTAATTATTTCGATTATTGCAAATGGAATATGGTCCACAAGGAGATGGCACGCATGGATTTTGGAAAACATCCAAAGACACTTTAGGAGGAGCTATTTAAGAAAACGAATAGAACAATATTTACTTAAAGATTTATTTCTTATTGCTTACTGGGAATAGGCACACATTGTACGAAGGCATCACCAGTCAACCCATTTTCACACACACATATAGGGCTATGGTTGCGTACATTGCATACAGCATTTCGACCACATACACCAGGGCATGGATCACTACATTTGCGATTAATGCATGCTTTATCAATAGGACATTCAGCGCTGGATGTACATTCAGGGCGACATGTAGGAGGTACACCAATATAATCACTTAAACATGCACATACAGCCTGTGAATTAACTTCCCGACAAACAGAATTTGGTCCGCAAGGAGAAGGCTGGCATGGGTTAACATATTCAAAAGTATTTGCTAAATTTTGTTAAGTAAATTAATAAAAATATTATATGAATATTACAATATACTATTGAAGAAACTAGTGTTAAACTAATATAATTAGTATGTTTTGAATTGGTTTGCTTACGTTGTGCGGGTTGAGTACAGTATTGGTAGGGATCTCCAATGAAACTCACAATACAGTTGCAAATCGGTAGATGGTTAAGCACGTTGCATTCAGCATTTTGTCCACAAGTGCCCGGACATGGATCGCGACAGTTTTGGTTTTGACATGCCTTATTTGAGGGACAATCAGAATTCACAACACATTCAGGTACACATCCTTCGTATGGATTTCCAAAATAGTTTGGTAAACAGTTACAGGCACCCGCTCCATTACGTTCAATACAATTAGCATTAGATCCGCAAGGTGACGGAATACAAGGATTAATTACTTCAATATCTGTAATGCGTTCTGGCTCGCAATAAGTGAAAGGATCTCCAGTATATCCTAAAATACATGTGCATATAGGCGTATGAGACACTGTTCGGCACTCTGCATTGGTCGCACAAAGTCCTACACAAGGGCTTTTACATTTTTGATTAATGCATGCTAAGTTTGACGCACATTCTGAGTTAGATATACATTCAGGCTTACAATAAGGTGGAAGTCCAACAAAGTTCTCGAGACATGTGCAAGACGGAGCGTTGCCAATCGCACGGCATTCTGAATTAGGGCCACATGGGGACGGCCGACATGGGTTTTGTGGCTTTTCATCGAACTGTGGTGGTTCTATAATTTGCTGACAAGCAACAAATGGATTTCCGGTATAACGCGGTATACATGTACAGAATGGAGCGTGATTAACTACAGTACATAAAGCATTTCGTCCACAAGAACCTGGGCATGGATCAATACATTTTTGCCTAATACATGCTAAAGTAGGTGCACAGTCTTGGTTGGCTGTGCATTCTGGACGGCAAGTTGGTGGAGTACTTATAAAGCCTGGTGCACATGAACAGACAGCTTGTTGATTTATGTCACGACATTGCGAATTTGGACCACAAGGCGATGGTTGGCATACATTAATTACAATTGGAGCTAAAATGACATACTTTCCGTAAAATTTGAATAAATAAAAAGATAGTTTCGAATATATTTACTTTGTATAGGGGTACATTCTATGAATGCATTACCAGACATGCCATTTGGGCACGAACACATTGGTACGTGATTTATTACTTGGCAAATCGCTTTATTCGTACAAGTTCCTGGACAGGGATCAACACATTTATTACGTATGCATGCACGATCACGTGCACAATCTGTATTGAGTACACACTCTGGATAACAACCAGTGTATGGATCACCAATATATTCACGTATACAATTGCAAATGCCATTGTTACAATCTGCATTTGGCCCACAGGGCGATGGTTGGCAAGGATCATCAGGAGTAATGGCTAAAATACAAAAATTGTTATCCGATTTTGCTGGTTGGAAATCATGTTTATATTCTTACGTTGTTCATCATATTCCTGATTACAGAACGTAAATGGATCACCTCTAAAACCTGCTGGACATACACAATTTGGCGTATGGTTTATAACATTACATACAGCTCCAAGTCCACATGACCCCGGACAAGGATCACGACATTTCTCATTTATACATGCTTCACTGCTTGGACATTCAGCATTGATAGTACACTCAGGACGACAATTTGGTGGAGTACCAATATAATTTTGCAAACAAGAGCAGGATGGAGAATCATTTATAGTACGACACTGTGAATAAGGCCCACATGGTGATGGTATACAGGGATTAACAGGTTGTCGTTGCTTTTGAACCGGTGGTGCCGCTACAGGTATAACATTTATATTATAGATTTTAAAAGAAATATCATAATTCCGCTTACGTGGAATAGGAACACATCTATAGAAAGCATCTCCAGTAAAACCTTGACGGCAAGTACATAAGGGGCTGTGGTTATGAACTCTACAGTTTGCGTTTGTACCACAGGTACCTGGACAGGGATCTACACATTTTTTGTTGACACATGCTTTGTCAATTACACATTCAGATGAAATCGTACACTCTGGTCTACAAATAGGAGGTTTTCCTATATAATCAGGAAGACATGAGCAAACCGGTTGCTCATTAATTTCTCGACATTGCGAATTTGGTCCACATGGCGAAGGTTGACATGGGTTAATGTATTCTTTAATAGCTGGGGATTGAAAAACACAATAAAAATGATTTATTTAATTTCAAATAAATATTTTTCTTACGTTGGCGTTGTACTTGACAGTGTATGTATGGATCACCCTCATATCCGATGAGGCAAGTACATGTCGGAACATGATTAAGTACATTACATAGAGCATTTAATCCGCATGTACCTGGACATGGATTGCGGCATTTCATGTTCTGGCAAGCTTTGTCTGCTGGACAATCGTAGTCAAGCATGCATTCTGGACGACAACCTTCGTAAGGATTTCCAAAGTAGTCGGTTAAACATTCACATGATCCAGCATTGTTGCGTTGAGTACAACGTGCATTTGGACCACAGGGGTTTGGATTGCAAGGATCTATTTGATCTAATTCTGTTATAGTTTTTCTAATACACTGAACGAATGGGTCACCTTCATACCCAGATAAACAGAAACAACTTGGCGTATGTGAAGTTACGCGGCATTCTGCCTCACTTCCACAAAGTCCTGGGCAAGGATCTTTGCACTTTTGATTTATACATGCCTTGTCTCGAGTGCACTCTGAACTTGTAACACACTCTGGTCTACAATTTGGTGGAGCTCCAATATAATCTGATAAGCATGTGCAAGAAGGTGTTTCTCCGATTGCACGACACTCTGCATAAGGACCACATGGTGAAGGAATGCAAGGTTGCTGTATTCTTACCGGTTTTTCTACAACCGGTTGGCAGCTAGCAAATGGATTTCCAGTATATCCTGGATTACAACGACAGAACGGACTATGATTTGTTACTAAACACAGTGCATTGTGACCGCACACACCGGGGCAAGGGTCAATGCATTTTTGGTTAAGACATGCTTTGTTCAGCGGACAGTCCGAATTAACTGTACATTCGGGACGGCAGAAGGGAGGACTTCCGATAAATGTGGGAAGACAGGAACATATTGGTTGTTCATTAAACACGCGACACTGACTATTTGATCCACATGGAGATGGTATGCAGGGATTAGTGACTACATCCAAACCTATAATTTATTTATTTATAGCAAAGCACTAATGTTTTTATTTAAAGCTTACGTGGTTTAGGTTTGCATAAGGTAAACGCATTTCCTTCCATATCGTCAGGGCAATGACAAATTGCAATATGATTAACTACTTCACATAAAGCGTTACTGGCACAAGTTCCTGGACAAGGGTCAATACATTTGTATTGTACACATGCTCTATCTCGACTACAGTCAGTATGCAAAACACATTCGGGGCGACAACCAACATATGGATCGCCATGGTATTCAGCAATACAAGTACAAATACCATTATTACATTGTGCATTTGATCCGCATGGTGATGGATTACAAGGATCATCAATAGGTATGACATCAGCTATGAAAATGATTCGAAGTTATTTTTGCAATGAAACATTGACAAACGAAATTAAAACTCACATTTATGTGGAATCAAATTACAATATGTGAATGGGTTTCCAGTATAACCTACTTGACACACGCATATGGGCATGTGATTGTTGACATTGCAAACAGCGTCTATCCCACATGATCCTGGGCAGGGGTCCTGACATTTTTCATTTATACAAGCGAGGGAGCTCGGACATTCAGAATTAATTGTACATTCAGGACGACATTGTGGCGGTGATCCTAAGAAATTTGGTAAGCAACTGCAAGAAGGATAGCCATTGTTATCACGGCATAGTGAATTTGGCCCGCAAGGTGAAGGTACACAGGGGTCTTTTGGTTCATGTTTGATAGATGTTAACAGAGGAGGTGCTATATAAATATATTTTTGTTAATTGTCTTACATTTATAAGAACAATAGTGTAAGGCTTACGTATGCGAGTGCAACGAATGAAAGCATCGCCTGTATATCCATTATCACATGTGCAAATAGGACTATGATTACGGACTCGACAAGCAGCATTTTGACCACAAACACCTGGACATGGATCAGCGCACTTTCGATTAACGCAGGCTTTATTTATTGGGCACTCAGAACTGGAAATACATTCTGGACGACATGCTGGTGGACTACCTATATAGTCAGACAAACATGAACAAACAGGTTGTTTATTTATTTCTCGACATTGTGAGTTTGGTCCGCAAGGTGAGGGTTGACAAGGGTTAACATAGTCTTCGATAGCTGTAAGTGCATTCATATAATATCCTGCCCTTTCACTAACAGTTAAATAACTTACGTTTAATATGAGGAATACTGCAGAAGTTGTAAGGATCTCCTGTGTAGCCATTGGTACAGCTGCATGATGCCAAGTGATTAATTACTTGACAAATAGCATTTTGTCCACAAGTACCTGGACATGGATCTCTACATTTTTCACTAACACATGACTTATCTGACGAACAATCTGAATTTAGAACACACTCCGGACGGCAACCTTCATAAGGATTTCCTTGATATCCTGGAAGGCATTGGCACGAGCCCGCTTCATTTCTTGCTTCACATATTGCATTAATACCACACGGGCTTTGTTGACATGGATTGATTTGTTGAACTTCTTCATGTAGAACTGGCAAACATTGAATGAACGGGTCGCCGGTTAGTCCTTCAGGACATAGACACATAGATGTATGACTAAATACTTGGCATCTGGCATTTAAGCCGCAAAGTCCAGTACATGGATCTTTACACTTTTGATTTATGCAAGCTTGGCTTGAAGAGCATTCAGAGTTAGTAATGCATTCAGGACGACAATTCGGCGGCGACCCTAAGTAGTCTGGTAAGCAAGAACATGATGGTGAATCACCACTAACTCTACATTCTGAGTTAGGTCCACATGGTGACGGCGTACAAGGACTAATTTGTACAACATCACGGATAGGTTGAACTAAACAATTTAAATTTGAACTATATAATCTTGAATTTTAAATGTGCAGTGCTAAACTTACTTATTTCTTGACAACGTACGAATGCATTTCCAGTCATCTGATTGGGACATGAACAATATGGAGAATGATTCACAACGTTGCAAATTGCATTAAAGCCACAGGATCCTGGACAAGGATCGCGGCATTTCATGTTCTGACATGCTTGGTTTGGTGGGCATTCAGAATTAGTTGTGCATTCGGGTCGACATTGTGGAGGACTACCAATGTAATCAGTTAAACAAGAACAAACTGCAGTTTCGTGAACAACACGACAATGACTATTAGGACCACAAGGTGATGGTTCACAAGGTTTTTTAATCAAAATAGCTAAAAACGAATCAAAGTTAACTTCAAAGTAGTTGAAAACATTTATAAAAAAATTACTTTTTATTGCTCGACATTCGAAGAATGCATTTCCAGACATATTTTCTGGACAATGACACATGGGTACATGATGGTTTACAACGCAAATAGCGTTCAAACCACAAGTTCCAGGACAAGGGTCAACACATTTATTTCTTATACATGCACGATCATAGGAGCAGTCCGAGTTCAATACACATTCAGGACGACATTCTAAGTACGGATCACCATGATATTCAGCTATGCAGCTACACTTTCCATTGTTACACTCAGCATTCAATCCACATGGAGATGGAATGCAAGGATCATCTCGTGTAGGTGGTTCTGTCGCTATTGTAGGATACGTAACATTATATATAAATAACAATATTAACTATTTTGCAGAGTCTTACGAGTGGGAGGTTTTGGATTACAAGATATAAATGGATTCCCAATATAATTATCGACACAGACGCATGAAGGAGTGTGATTTATTACACGGCATATAGTATTCAGTCCACATGCACCTGGACACGGATCACGACATTTGTTATTTATGCAAGCTTGTTGACTGGGACATTCTGAGTTTATTGTACATTCATGACGACAGTTTGGAGGTTGTCCAATAAATGATGGAAGGCAACTACATGATGGAACATTGTCCCTATTTCGGCACTCGGAGTTTGGACCGCATGGTGAAGGAATGCAAGCGTCATAAGGTTCACGTTGTATTTCAGTTGGTGGAGCTATTTGATAATTTTCTAATTAAAAACGCTTTAGTTTATCTTAAATAATAGCTTACGTGGTATCAGGTAACAATGCGTAAACGCATCCCCTGTATAACCAAATTCACAAGTACAAATTGGGCTATGGTTTCGGACACGACATTCAGCGTTACTTCCACAAGGTTTAGATAAACATGGATTAATACACTGCTGATTTATACAAGCTTTATCGGCAGAACATTCAGAAGATATAGTGCATTCTGGGCGACAAGCTGGTGGAGTTCCAATAAATTGCGGCATGCATGAGCAGACCGCTTGATTATTTGCCTCACGACAATTAGAATTAGGACCACACGGAGATGGTTGACAAGGATTTATATATTTATCTTGAATCGCTAATAATTAAAATAAAATCAAAACTACTAACATTATTCAGAAAATTTGTTTGCTTACGTTCCAGTAGTCGAGTACAATATCGATAGGGATCGCCAGTAAAGCCGCTTAAACAGTTACAAGATGGCAGATGGTTAACAACTAGACATTCAGAATTTTGTCCACATGTACCTGGACATGGATCTTGACATTTTTGTTGTTGACAAGCTTTATTTGATGGACAATCTGAATTAAGAACACATTCAGGACGGCAACCTTCATAAGGATTGCCAAAATAGTTTGATAAACAACTGCAAGCTCCTGCTTTATTACGCTCAGTGCATACAGCATTTGGCCCGCAAGGAGTTGGGTTACAAGGTGTTAAAACTTCAATAACATCTCTCTCAATTGGAGGGTTACATTGAACAAACGGATCTCCAAAATACCCAACAATACAAACACATTGCACGGCATGACTAATTACACGACACTCGGCATTAAGACCACATCGTCCAGGACAAGGATCTACGCACTTCTGATTAATACATGTAAGGCTACTAATGCAATCTGAGCTGGTAATACATTCGGGTCGACAATTCGGCGGCGTTCCAATATATGACTCCAGACAAGAACATGATGGTGCTTCTCCAAGAGAACGACATTGAGAATATGGACCACATGGGGAGGGTACGCATGGATTTTTTGGAATAATGTCTTCAATAGGTTTAACTAAAAATTTTTATTTATAATTCATCTTTTTTTTAAATCGAAGTTTATGAAACTTACTTATACGTTGACAACGTACAAACGGACTTCCTGTAAAGCCCTCTGGACAGGTGCAAAATGGACTGTGATTTACAACAGTACATTTGGCACCTATACCACAAGCACCCAAACAGGGATCGTTGCATTTCTGATTAAGGCAAGCTAATATTGGCGAACACTCTGAGTTAGAGACACATTCTGGGCGACATGTTGGTGGACTACCAATAAAACCTAGTAGGCATGAGCATACAGCTTGTTGGTTAACTTCACGGCATTGAGAATTAGGACCACATGGGCTTGGTTGGCAGGGATTCGTTATTTTTATTTCTATTTAGAGAAAATTTTTTAATAAAGAAATAAACACAAATTGTCAAAGGATTCGTACTTTGAATAGGACTGCAACGAATAAATGCACTTCCAGCAGTACCATCTGGACATCTACACATCGGAATATGGTTTACGACATTACATATAGCATTCTCACCACAAGTACCAGGGCAAGGATTTTCACATTTGCTGCGTAAACACGCTTTATCGCGAGGGCAATCATTATTTAAAACACATTCTGGACGACAACCTGAATACGGGTCGCCATGATATTCAGGAAGACAACTACAAACACCATTTTGACACTGTGCATTTGAACCACAAGGTGATGGATTACAAAGATCAATAGGCTCATCTAAGCAAAGAATCATTAAGTGTGTGATCAACAATAGTAATTTTTAACACTTACTTATTACAGAGTCAGGTGGCGTTAGTCTACAACTTGTAAAGGGATCGCCAGTGTACCCACTGATACAAGTACAAACAGGCGTATGATTAATAACATTACATACCGCCGAGATTCCACATGAACCAGGGCAGGGATCAATACATTTATTTCGTATACAAGCTCTATCAGAAGGACATTCTGCACTAATTGTACATTCTGGACGACAGTTTGGTGGTGCACCTATAAATGTTTCTAAACAGGAGCATGAAGGTAAACTATTTATATTCCGACACTGACTATTGGGCCCACATGGCGAGGGCACACAAGGATCACGTTCGATGCGTGGTATAGCAGGTGGTGGAGCTAAAATTGAATTCTTACTATTTGGTATCCAAACAAAAACATGACATAAACTTACGTGGTAGAGGATAACAACGAGTAAATGCATCCCCTGTAAAACCAACTCGACACTGACATAATGGGCTGTGATTACGCACGCGACATTCAGTATGCATACCACAAGTTCCCGGACAAGGGTCTTGACAACGTTGATTTACACATGCTTTATCTACAGCGCACTCAGTGGTCAGGACACATTCAGGCCTACAATTAGGCGGTAATCCAATATAGTTTTCAACACAAGAACACACTGCTTGACCATTCAATTCACGACATTGAGAATTGGGTCCGCATGGTGATGGAACACAAGGATTCAAAGGTTCTTCTTTGAGTATTGCTATTTTCAATGTAACAAAATATGTTATTTTCGACTAGTTATTGTATTAAGAAAACACTCCTATCTTACGTTTAATGGGCTCTGCATGACAATGTCGGTACGGCGCACCGATATATCCAATGCGACAAGTACAACGGGGTATATGATTTGTTACACTACAATCAGCGTTTGTACCACACACACCAGGACATGGATCTCGACATTTATTTTGCATACACGCTTTATTTGATGGACAATCGGAGTTCAATACACACTCTGGACGACACGATTGATACGGATCTCCGAAATGCTCCGGCAAGCATTGACATGAGCCAATACCGTTTTGTTCTCGACAAATAGCATTTGATCCGCAAGGATTCGGTACACAAGGCGTTACTTGCTCGTACTCTACACGCACTGCTTGAAAAAATAAAAGAGAGGTAAAGAAAGAAAGAAAAGGCAATAGCTTTAGAATTTGAACGACTCGTGTAAAGTATTAGTATCAAACACACCTCTAATTGGTTTTAATGTTATTATACTGTGTGGCGAATCCAATTCTTTTTTTTTTTTTTGTTTTTTTTTTTTTTCGTGGTGTTATTGGTAGTGGTATTAGAGCGCATAACAGCAGCAACTCTACTTCGCAACATTGATTAGATACGGTTAAGTAACGAATGCATCACAGTGCATTTGGTTTGGTGTTAATCGCAGTTATACTTTGTAGCTTTTGTGTTTTGCTCTTGTTATTTTTGTTGTTATTATATAATGTGCAATTGCGTAATCAAACGTGTTCGTGTTAAATATTTGTGTAATTGTATTTGTAAAATCGTTTGCTAGAACTGTGTAAGTGCATTATCGAATTAAAAGGCTTTGTTTTATATTGTTGCTCAATAATATCTTTATTTATTATATTAAATATTAAACATTATTGTTAAAATTAAGACTATAATTAAAACTACAGCAGCTAAGAGTGTTCTTTTGTTAGAATTAAAATATTGTTAGAGGAGGCAGTTTCAAAATCCAACGATGACAATCGAAATTTAACACATGCAGTCGGACGAGACTGCATGTCTACATTGGTGCAAGGCATTAGGTAAAACGTTAGAAAAAGCAAGTGTTTTCAGCAGATTTTGTGTCGTTATTAAAAATTTTGAATGTAAGTTGTGTAAAAAATTCAATGCAAAACATAGTTTTTTTGTAAGACTTCAATTCCATATTTGTTTTTGCTTTTTGGGGCATGAGTTACGGTTATTTTTGGTTAGAGTATCAATAAAGCGCATTTTTGGGTTTTATATTGTCAAGTTTTTAGGTACAAGACTATACCAGACCAGACCAGATCAAATAAGAATAAGGCCAGACTTGATTATAACAAAAGGTAGGTTACTTAGCAATGAGTTTTTGGTTTCATAATATTATAATCTTTCCAAATAATAAACGAAGCGGGTTTGTAAAAAAAGCTTTTTTTAACACTAATTTTTAATATATAAGTTAGGTAATAAGGCGTTTTCAAAAGGCTTAGACAAAGCAAGTTTGCATTATATATTTGTAAAGGCAATTATTAAAAGGCAATTATTGCATATATGTAATAAAAATACAAAAGCGTTGACTTTTATAACCTCCCAAGCACTTCCAAAGACTCATAACATTCAGACAACTCGTACAGAATGATGTGTCGTTTGAAATCTGCATTTTGCCGAGGACTTTATTTAATTACATTTGTGAAGCTTACAATTATTAAATTATCCTTTATGCAATGCAATGTGCTTGAAAAGTCTAAAAGTCATTCATTATATGTAAATATTAATATAATATAAAACGTAAGAACGCATATTAGAACTAATTTATTTATTAAATAATATTAATGTACAGCATTAAATTCAAATAATCACATTTATTATTATTAAGGAAATTCCACCTTTATATATATTTTGTATATAAATGCACAAAAGATTCAAAACAACCCATATAATTTTTATATCCTACGAACGAACTTCTCTACTTTTAAAATAATATATTATATTATATTATTATATATATAATATTAAATAAAATTTTTATTGTCCATGGGTAATAAGGACGAAATTTCAAATTCAAAAATTTAATTTTTGCTTGCCAAATTATGTTTTAGTTTATTTACTACTTTATACATAAATTATTTATATATATAATATATTATAGTTTGTAAGTTACTATAGGCTATTATTATTAGTTTATGTTCTAAATAATATTTCTTATATAATAAAAGTATTTGTATTATTTAATTGTATTTATAATTTTATTCATATTTATATATTTATATTATATTTATATTTATATTATATATATTATATTTATTATTATTATATATTTATATTTATTATATTTATATTTATATTTATATTTATATTTATATTTATATATTATATTTATATTTATATTTATATTTATATTTATATTTATATTTATATTTATATTTATCCTTTTTTCATACCTTAATGGTAATAAGATCTTAAGATTTGATTGTACGTAATATAGTCGAACTTAACTGTTTTTTCAAGGACTATTTCCATTATTTTCTAAAGCTTGAAATATGTTATATAGCTTACAACTGATTAATAAAAAGGATCAATATTTAATACCTATTTAAGATGGTATTACTTTGTCAAAAATTTGGTTTTAGCAACATAATCTAATCGTTACATTTAATGGGTTATTGAGTAGAAAAATATTGTAGTAACAGTAAAGATATTTTCTAGTGCATTTGTTTGCAGGCTGTGGGTTGTGGGTCGTGACCATTTTAATAACCATTGTGCATTTATAGATAAACTTATGAATAAAATTATATTTCAAATTTATTTAATTAAATAATTTTAGTTCTAATTTGCGACTTATAAGATGTGAAACCTTAAAAACAGAGACATATGCAGTATTTTCTTAACAAATATTTGTTCAAGATTAACGTGTTAACATATAAATCTGACCATCAAAGGCCATTCGTGATTTGTGCATTACATACAAAAACATAAATTTTAATATCATTGTCTAATATACTAAATGAACACAAATATAAAAACTGTGATTTGAAAATGATTTGCATTCTACACTTTTAAAAGTTCATAATTAATTTTTGTATTAATTTTATAAGATATGCAAAAAATTTAAAAAAAAATACGAACATAGTGTCTCAAGAAATTTGCAAAAAGGTGCTTTTAAAAGTTTCACATTAAAACGTAACCATTTAAATATAATGAAATCTTAATTTAATTATTTTATTTTCAATAAAAAATACTGTTAGGAAGCTGCGTATTTTGGTATTAAATAGCACACAATAATAAAGATAAAAACTGATGTAAAGTATTTCCATAAATAAAAGTGGTTGGTTACGTTTTAAGATAAATATTACGAAAAGTACAAAAAAAATCCTACCTTGAACGGGTTGACAGCTGGTAAATGGATCTCCAGTATAACCGCTTTCACAACTGCAAATAGGCATATGATTTGCAACAGTGCAACGTGCATTAAATCCACAAGACCCAATACAGGGATCGCCACACCTTTGACGAATACATGCTTTTGTAGGTATGCATTCGGAATTTATTGAACATTCTGGACGGCAATTAGGTGGTTTTCCTATAAACGTTGCTGCACATGAACAGGCAGGGCTATCACCGACAATTTTGCATTCAGAGTTGGGACCGCATGGTGTTGGTACGCACGGATTTTCTTGTACTTCTTTCCTTTCTTCGAGATAGCAACGTGTAAACGGATCACCCGTATAACCAATGTTGCATGTACAAATAGGATTATGATTGATTACTTGGCATTTTGCATATTGGCCACACGCACCAGGACAAGGATCTATGCATTTCTTTTGCATACAAGCGGTTTGTAATGAACATTCAGAGCTGACAACGCATTCTGGTTTACAAGCTGGTGGTGACCCAAGCATACCCGGTTGACATGCACAGACTGCGCCTTGTGCAGATGTATGGCATATGCTATTTGGACCACATGGATTTGGTTGGCAAGGATCTTTCGGCTTGGATTCTATGCGTATTTCTTCACGCCGGCAATCAATAAATGGATCACCAGTGTATCCTTTTGGACAACTGCATATTGGTATATGATTTAATACATTGCATTCTGCATTTTGACCACATGTGCCTGGACATGGATCCACACACTTTTTGTTGAGGCACGCTCTATTTGGTGAACAATCAGTACTAACTGTACATTCTGGTCTACAACCAATATTTGGATCACCCTGGTAGTCTTTTAAGCAGGTACAGATGCCATTATTGCATTCTGTATTTGCACCGCATGGTTGTAAATCACATGGATCTTCGTAAAGAGTTGGAGGCGTCTTCACTTCAATAACTTCGACACATTGTGTGAATGGATCACCGGTAAAACCATTGCGGCAAGTACAAATTGCAATATGGTTCTGTATACGACATTCAGATAATACACCACAGGAACCTTCACAAGGATTGCGACATTTTTCTGCAATACATGACAAATCTGATGGACAATCAGTGTTAACAATGCATTCCGGACGACAGTTTGGTGGCGCTCCTATATAAGTAGGTAAGCATGAACAGGAAGCTTGGTCTCCATTTACTCGGCATTCAGAATATAATCCGCATGGTGATGGAAGACATGGATTCCTTGGTTTTGAAACTTCCTTAGTACTTATTGGCGGAGTTGGATAGCAGCGTGCAAATGGATCACCAGTCATGTCTAACGGGCAGCTGCAGATGGGATTATGGTTAATTACTTCACATTTGGCATTAATACCACATGTGCCGGCGCATGGATTAGCACATTTAAATTTATGACATGCTTTGTTTTGTGGACACTCTGCGTTAACGGTACATTCAGGTTTACAGTTTGGTGGGACACCAATGAATGACTCCAAGCAAGAGCAAACTGCTAGGTTATTAGCTTCACGACATTTACTATTTGGACCACATGGTGAAGGTTGGCAAGGATTTTCAATTGGTGGTGGAGTGGTCGGTATAACTTGACGTTGACAATTTGAGAACGGATCACCAGTGTATCCTTCAATACAAACGCAATTTGGTACATGGTTAACTGCATAACATTGAGCATTTGATCCGCATATACCAGGACATGGATCTTTACACTTATTCTGGATGCAAGCTTCATCAGTGGCACAATCAGAACTTAGAACACATTCTGGGCGACAGCTTTCGTAGGGATTTCCAATATAATCATTAAAACATTTACAAATTGCTGCTTCGTTACGTGCAATACATTCCGCATTTGTACCACAAGGTGAAGGTTCGCAAGGTTTAGGTTGTTCTTGTACTTGCACACATTGAACAAATGCATTTCCTGCAAAACCAATTGGACAAGAACATGATACGGTATGGCTGATAACACGACACTCAGCATTAGTACCACAAGAGCCTGGGCAAGGATCTCGGCATTTATTGTTAATACAAGCTTGCGTAGACGAACAGTCTGGATTTATAATACATTCAGGACGACAATTTGGTGGTGAACCAAAGAATTCTGGTAGGCACTGACATGATGGTCCACTAGCACTTGCTTTACATATAGAGTTAGCTCCACAAGGTGATGGGATACAAGGATCTCTCTCTATATTTGGTACACGATCTATTGGTGTAGCAGGTATATCTATGCAGTTTTTAAATGGATCACCCGTTTTGCTTGGTGGACAACCGCAAATTGGACTGTGATTAACAACTTCACAACGTGCATTAATGCCACAAGCTCCAGCGCATGGGTCAACACATTTCTTATTCACACAAGCTTGAACAGCAGAGCATTCACTGGATACAATACATTCAGGACGGCATAGTGGTGGAGCACCAACGTATCCATTAATACATGAGCATACAGGATGATTATCAACATCTCGACACTGACTATTTGGTCCACAAGGTGATGGAGAACAAGGCAAAGTTGGAGTGTCTTTTTCTTTTTCTTTTGGTCTGCAACTATTAAATGGATCTCCTTCATAACCATCTAAACATGAGCACGATGGAATATGATTTAATACTTCACAAAGAGCGTTAAGACCACACGTTCCAGGACAAGGATCTACACATCTATTACGCAAACAAGCCTTATCTCGCGCACAATCAGCTGATAAAGTACATTCTGGTCGACAACCATCATAAGGATTACCTTGATAATTATCTTGACAGCGGCATTCACCACGCAAGCAATCAGCATTTGGACCACAAGGGTTTGGATCACAAGGATCATCAGATACCTTAGGCTTCTCTGTAACTTTTGGTATTGGACTGCAACGAATAAATGGATCACCAGTGAAGCCATCAATGCAGTTACAGATGGGCACATGATTAAGTACGTGACATTTTGCTTCAAAACCGCAAGAACCTGGGCATGGATCGCGACATTTCTGATTGATGCATGCTTCAGTTGGTCCACATTCTGAATTCAGAACACATTCTGGACGACAATTTGGTGGTGCACCAATAAAATCTGCTAAACATGAACAAGCAGGAGTTCCACCAACGATTTGACACTTTGAATTGGGTCCACAAGGAGATGGAAGGCAAGATGGGGGACGTTCAGTTGGCTCAGGCTCAATAACAATAGCTGAAAAGTAAGAAAAAATGATTAACTTTACATATATATATACTAAAGTAAATAATACATACGTATTTTCGAGCATTGAACAAATGGATCGCCTGTCATTCCTCGAGGACATGTGCAGATTGGACTATGATTCTTAGTTGTGCAAATAGCACGAGCTCCACATGTATGCTGGCATGGGTCGACACATTTTTTATTAACACAAGCACGATCGGAAGCACACTCTGAACTAACAACGCATTCTGGACGACAATTTGGTGGTTGATTAATGAATCCTGTTTGACATAAACATACTGCACGATCATTTAAACTGCGGCAAATACTATTTGGACCGCATGGTGACGGTACGCAAGGATTTATAATAGATGGTGGTGTAACTGGAATTGGTTTACATTGGAAGAATGGATCCCCTGTATATCCTGAAGGACAATTACATGTGGGCACATGATTTTCGACTGAACAAATTGCAAATTCACCACATATGTTTTCACATGGATCAACACATTTAAACCGTACACAAGACTGTGACAAAGCACAGTCATCATTAATTTCACATTCTCGTCTGCAGCCACGTTCCAAGTCATAAGCATTGCCCTCAAAACCTTCATGACAATAACAAGCACCAGCTCCATTTCGTTCGCGACATTCTGCATGTGGACCACACGGTGATGGCTTACAAGGTGAACTATCTGGCTGCTTTGGTAAAGGAGGCTGTATTACGTTACACCCTATTATTGGATCTCCTTCAAAACCGTCTATGCAGGAACATACAGCATTGTGTTGAACAACTTTGCAGATAGCATTATTACCACAAGATCCGGGACAAGGATCAATGCATCGTTCGTTTTGACATGACAAATGATTTTGGCATTCATCATTATTTGTACATTCAGGTCGACAATTCGGTGGTCGTCCAACATAATTGGTTTGGCATGAGCAGGCAGCTTGGTTAGCTATTTCACGACACAAAGAATTGGGTCCACAAGGAGATGGTACACATGGATTAAGTGGATCACGTGGAGTTTCCCGTGCCTCCGTACATACTATAAATGGATCTCCTGTCATACCAGGAGGACAGGTACAAATAGGATTATGGTTAACTACTTGACACCTTGCACTGTTACCACAAGCACCTCGACAAGGATCATCACATTTTTGACTTATACAGGCGCGATTCTGTGGGCATTCAGAACTAACAACACATTCAGGTTTACATGATGGTGGAGCACCAATATATCCATCAATACAAGAACAAACAGCGTGGCCATTCATTTCACGACACTGACTGTAAGGACCACATGGTGATGGCTGGCAAGGCTTTGATGGGGCTATTGTAGTAACTTCAACTACTGCACATGATGAATACGGGTCTCCAGTATAGCCTTCAAAGCAAGTACATTTTGGTGCATGAATAAGTACTCTACATTCAGCATTAATGCCACAAACACCTGGGCACGGATCTTGACATTTGTTATTAATGCAAGCCTTTGAACGATCACAATCTGGGTTTTGTACACATTCTGGTCGGCAACCTGTGTAAGGATCTCCAAAATATTCTGGTAAGCAGGAACAAGAACCAGCATTATTGCGTTCACGACAAACGGCATTAGGTCCACAAGGACTAGGGTTGCAAGGATCACGAGGAGGTTCGGTTGGTGTTACTGAAATATCAATTAAGATTTATTAGTTTATACTAAATATTGCATCTTAAAATTTGAAAGTCACATGAAGTTATTATCTTAAGGGTTTTAAATGGAAACAGTTATTTATTGAATTATTATTAAATTACATTGTAAATAAATCCCTTAAAATAACAACTATAGTGTCGAAAATAATTAAAATATATTTTGTACTTTTTTGTATAACGCTACAACCGGAGAATGGATCTCCAGTGTAATCGATTTCGCATTGACATGTAGGGTTGTGCTTAATAACAGTACATGAAGAATGTATGCCACAAGCACCAATACATGGATTTGAACATTTTTGATTTATACATGCCAAATTCGCAGGACAATCAGAACTACTCATGCATTCAGGACGACAATTAGGTGGACGTCCCAGATAGTTTGGCAGGCAGGAACATGCAGGTGAACCACCAACATCGAGGCATTTCGAGTTGGGTCCACATGGTGAAGGTACACACGGATTACCAGTCTTTTCTACAGAAGGTAGGTCCACTACTCAAGTTGTGAAATATAGTGTATAGTTTTTGGTAGAAGTAAAGTAGATGATTGATAGTGGTAACAGTTATAATAGTAGTTGAAGAAATGTACACAGGCAAACAAACATATGTATATATAAAAGAAAAACATAAAATAAAAGAAAGAAATAGATAGTTAATATATAATTATTTACATGCATTTACAAAAAAACAACCAAATTAATTTAAAGTGGATAAAGCGTAACCATTTTTATCAATTTGTTATAAAAAAAAGAAAATGTATCAACTTTTTTGATATTGCCTCGGTTTGTAATTTTCCATGTTTGAGCAAAGACTATGATTTAAGAAACTAATAAAAATGTTTACTTTCTCGACATCCACTAGTGCATAAATATACATGCTTACATTTAATTCTAGTACATCGATTGAAGGGATCTCCCGTATAACCCGGTGGACAAGAACATGCAGCATAATGATTTATTACTTGGCATCGTGCTTCAGTACCACAAGTACCAGGGCAAGGATCAATGCACTTTTGATTTTGACAAGCTAGATTTTGTGCACAATCAGAACTAACGATGCATTCAGGTCGGCAGTTAGGTGGAGAGCCAATAAAATTCGTTTGACAAGAGCATACGGCGTGGTCATTTATTTCTCTACACTGACTATAAGGTCCACATGGAGAGGGTACGCAAGGATTAACATCTTTTGGTGCTATGTAATAAAATGGATAGAGTTAATTGTGTCTACTTAAAGGGGTTAGTAGTATATGCAAGTAAACAATGAAAGTTAAATGCTTTCATAGTCCATAACATTTAGGATAGTTAGTGAGGACGTACTTGGTGTAATAACTTGAGGAATTTCACGGCATGCACTTAAAGGATTTCCAGTATATCCTTGCAGGCAATGACATGTCGGTGCATGATTGTTAACACGGCATTCGGAATTAAGTCCACAAACTCCTGGACAAGGATCGGAGCATTTATTATTAACACAGGATTTATCGCGAGAGCAGTCAGAATTAACTACACATTCGGGACGACAGCCACTGTATGGATCTCCAAAGTATCCAGTTAAACATGTACAAGAACCAGCGCCACTGCGCTCTTTGCATTCGGCATTAGGTCCGCAAGGTGAAGGATTACAAGGTGTCAAATGTTCAGGTGGGACAGTTATAGCTAAGAAAACACAAAGAGTACTATTAATTCTCTTCGTATGTAGTGCAGGCCAAAAAGGTTGCTTACACATTGGATTGCATCCAGCAAATGGATCTCCAGTATATTCATTCTCACATATGCAAATTGGTTTATGGTTCACAACATTGCAAATTGCATTGAAACCACATGAACCAGGACAGGGATCTTTACACTTTTCATTAATGCAAGCCAAATCGGCAGGACATTCGGAATTCAGACTACATTCGGGTCTACAATTAGGTGCACGACCGATAAAGTTCGGTAAACATGAGCAAACAGGAGTTTCACCAACAACACGACACTGCGAGTTTGGACCGCAAGGACTAGGTATACATGGATTTTCTGGGATTGTTGGTTTGCGCGTTTCTTCTTCTTCTAAACAAAACAATAAATTTTTTAATTTTGTACCAAATGTGGTTTATATGCTTCATTCCTGTTTTTACATCACTTGTAGCAAATATAGCAATTTAATTTACAAAACATTTTCTCATTATTTATTTTAAGAAGCAAAATGTAAAAACAGAATAGCTCAATTGCATAGTAAACCGAATCTTACTTTCAATTCGTAGGCAGCGTATGAATGCATCACCAGTGAAACCCGGTGGGCAAGAACAAATTGGATTATGACTTGTGACTTTACAAAGTGCATCATTGCCACAAGTTCCTATGCATGGGTCTACGCAGCGTAAATTCACACAAGCATGATTTTGTGAACACTCAGAGCTAACTGAGCACTCAGGGCGGCAATTTGGAGGTGTGCCCACATAGTTGACAATGCAGGAACAAACTGCATGTCCTTTTAGTTCACGACACTGACTATATGGACCACAAGGAGAGGGACGGCATGGTTGCACTGGTTCTATTTCTGTAAAAGGTTATATAAATACTTTCAAACAATCAAACTAAAAAGTCTAAAGGCTATATACGTTTTGTTGCTTCGCGACAAAATTCTGATGGGTTGCCTGTATAACCTGAAGGGCAACTACAACTAGGTGCATGATTAATTACATGACATTCAGCTGATACACCGCAAACACCTGGGCAGGGATCGCGGCATTTGTTATTAACACAAGCAAGATTTTTGGGACAATCTGTGTTCAAAACACATTCTGGTCGGCATTCTGTATACGGATCTCCTGTATACTCGGGTAAACATGTGCATGAGCCGACACCGTTGCGCTCTTTACATATAGCATTGGTTCCACATGGAGAAGGATTACAAGGTTCAGCTTTTTCTGGCACCACAGTAACTAAAGAAATTTTTAAGTTCAATAAAAATAATACGTAGACTTTTTCTTACGATAATTATATTGCAAATTTTTTAAAGCAAAAAATACGTTTTTTTTTATCTTACTTTGAGGACTACATTCTGAAAATGGATCGCCTGTATAACCTTCCAAGCAACGACATATAGGTCTATGATTATTTACAATACATGTCGTAAATGAACCACATGAACCCTGGCATGGATTTTGACAGCGTTGATTTATGCATGCCATATTGCCACGACACTCTGAATTCAAAGTACATTCAGGTCGGCAATTTGGCGCTCTACCAATGTAATTTGTCAAGCAAGAGCACACGGGTTGCTCATTAGCAGACGAAACCCGACATTCGGAATTCGGTCCGCATGGCGATGGTATGCATGGATTTTCAGGAACTCTTATAATAGGACGCTCTTTACATATATTTAAGTATATACATTTCCCATAATAAGCATGCACCACAAATAATGTTGTTCAATAAAAAATAAACATAAAAAAGAAATCAAGCAAAAGAAGTTATAAAATTAATGATTAAAATGATAATTCCATTTGTAATGAAAAGCGATTCAATGTTTAAATCCTGTGATGTTCACTTGACTCTTGTAACTTTCTCTTTCTCAACAATGTCATGCACACACAAGATTTATACATTTATGAACAATCAAAAATGATAGTGAATGAATTTCGGCTCTTACTTTCTTCATATATACAGCGTATAAATGGATCACCCGTGAAATCAGGCTTACATGAGCAGATTGGATTATGATTTACCACTCGACAAAGCGCGTTATTTCCGCACGTACCAGGACAAGGATTCATACAGCGTTCGTTAATGCAAGATTTGTCCTGAGCACATTCAGAACTGCTAATACATTCGGGTCGACAATTAGGTGGATGACCCACATAGTTTGGTATGCAAGAGCACACCGCATGCCCATTAACAGCTCGGCAGTTGCTATAGAGTCCACAAGGGGTAGGTTGACAAGGATTATGAGGAACAATTGGCTCATCTATTAAAGTCCAGAAAATTGATTTGTTTACAAGAATTGGAAAGGTGGTGAATTATGGAAGGTAGTGAAGAAACAGCTTTAGGTTTTAATTTTATTTACCAATCGTTATTAGGGTATTCATAACAGCACTTCAACAGATAAAGGTTAAACCACCATATTTTATTAAAGTAAGGAAAAATTGTATCAATTGTAAATATCATTCAAGTTTCGTTTTTAAATAGTTAACGAAGAGTGAGTCAAATTGAATTTAAATTTTGAAAATATCCCAATTAAATTCTATTGCAATCATGTTATGAATACCCTTAAGCATCTTCACTTCCTTTCGAAAAAGGAAAATTTTTAATTCTTACTTATTGGCGGTATTTGAATTATTGGACTACATCCAATAATTGGATTTCCAGTGAAACCAGCGTAACATTCACAATTGGGTGCATGATTAAATACAATACACTCAGCATTACGTCCACACATACCCACACAAGGATCAACACACTTGTTGTTAATACAAGCACGTGCCTTTGGACAATCCAAATTAATAACACACTCTGGTCTACATTCCATATATGGATCACCGAAATAATCTGGTATGCATTTACATGAAACCGCTTGATTGCGCTCTTCACAAATAGCATTTTGTCCACAAGGACTTGGGTGACAAGGTCTAACAGGTTCATCAGGAACTAAAAAAATGTAAGTATTATTTTAACGTGCTAATTTTTTCTCGACAGAACTATAATCAAATGTAATATGCTGCATTTCGAAAGAACTGTTTAAAAATCATATATATGCAATATTCTTGCATCAATTGACTATTAATGTTAACTGCAAAGATTTTGAAAAATATTTAGAATTAGAAATTAAACTGCAAATACATATAATCTGGATTTAAAAACATCTTTCGTGAATTGGCATATTATTTTTGGCTCGTCTATATTCTACATACTTTTTATAACTTTATAGCAGCCTGAAAACGGATCACCAGTATAGCCATGTTCGCACATACAAACAGGTACGTGGGAACTTACATGACACAACGCGTTGTTACCACAAGAGCCAATGCAAGGATTGGCACAACGTGAATTCATGCAGGCCATATTTGCTGCGCATTCAGTACTTATTGTGCATTCTGGGCGACAATTTGGGGCGCGTCCTACATAGTTTGGAATGCAAGAGCAAACAGCGCCTACATTTGACACTTGACATTGCGAGTTAGGGCCACATGGTGTGGGAATACAGGGATTTTTAGGTACTATAGGCTCGTTGGAAATTGTTGGCGGTGGTTCTGAAAAATTGTTGTACGCATGTTTATTTAATGGACTGTTACATTATTGATATAATCATACTTCTTTCTGGCCAACACTGTTGAAATGGATCGCCTTCATAGCCATCATTGCAGCTACATATCGGTGAGTGATTCGTTACGCGGCATATTGCATTATGTCCACATGTACCTGGGCATGGGTCAATGCATCGTTGATTAACACAAGCTCTATTTGAAGGACACTCTGAACTTATAACACATTCAGGTTTGCAATTGGGGGGGCTGCCAATATAATCAGGTAAACAAGAGCAAACTGGGCGATTGTTGGCAATACGACAGATACTAAACAGACCACAAGGTGATGGTCGACAAGGATCTTTTGGTATTGGTAAGTACATGTCTATTGAGAAGAGTTATTTTCTATATTTCTGTGTTTCATTATAAATAACGTTAACCTACTTGATGGTTTTTCATGACAAATACGCATTGGATTACCAATGTAACCGGTATTACAATTGCATACAGGTATATGATTTGTAACGCGACAAACAGCATTTATACCACATAAATTAATGCATGGATCAACACATTTCATATTGATACACGATTTGGTATGCGGACATTCACTATTTTGTATACATTCTGGACTGCAATTGATATATGGATCGCCGTAGTAATTTTGCATGCATTTACATGAACCAGCACCATTACGCTTGCTGCAAATGGCATTGGAACCGCAAGGTGAAGGGATACATGGATCACTTGGTATATCAGGCACCACGACTAAATATGATAGATATGATAGCAGTGATAGAAATTACCATAGATATGTTTCATAATAAAGTAAAGCTAATAACATCGCAAATATATAGCAAAATTTGAAATATACATAAATAACTATATACATAACAATAATTCATGCAATAAATACTTTAATAGAAAAGAGTTAACATTTTAACATATACCAATAACCAATATACTGAAAGAGATCAAAAATATTAATACATATCAACACGTAAGGGTATATTCTTACCCAAACAAAATGAAATATTCTTTAGTTTACATAATTGAAAATGCAAAATGTACTCACTTTGACGCATATTACAGCCCGCATAGGGATCACCTTCATGACCCTCAATGCAAGAACAAATAGGTTTATGATTTTGGGAACTGCAAATGGCATTAAATCCACATGCACCTACACAAGGATCTTCGCAGCGTTGACGAATGCAAGCCCGATGAGATGGGCAATCTTGATGTATAACACATTCCGGTCTACAATTTGGTGGAGCTCCAAACATGCCAGGTGCGCAATTACATGCGGAACGATTATCAACTACACGACATTCAGCATTTGGTCCACATGGGCTGGGAATACATGGATTTACCTTACGTTCTGGTTCTGTTGTTGTAAAGAAATAAATTATTATTATGTAAATATTATTTTATATTCGTGTGAAATACTTACGTTTTGGCATGCATTGCTCGAATGGGTCGCCCACGAAATCAACAGGGCATGTACAAATTGGATTATGATTAACAACATCGCATTTCGCATTGAATCCGCACGTATCTATGCACGGATCGACACATTTTTGATTAATACAAGCCAAGTTTTGGTTACACTCGGAGCTAACAACACACTCAGGTCGGCACGTTGGTGGAGCACCGAAGTAGCCTACTTGACATGAGCAAGTTGGACGACCGTCAACAATGCGACATATGCTATTAGGTCCACATGGGCTAGGTTCACATGGTGTTAATGGTCCGATTGCTGCATTTTATATTTATTATTAAACATTTTGATTGTTTTGAATTTGAACTTACGGTAAATTTCCTTCTTACAGCCAACAAATGGATTGCCTTCAAAACCATATGCACAACTACAAGTAGGTACATGATTAACCACAGTACACTCGGCGTTAGTGCCACAAGTGCCGATACAAGGATCTCGACAGTGTTGCTTAATGCAAGCTAATGCAGAGGAACATTCCGAGTTGTAAACACATTCAGGTCGACATCCAGTTGTATATGGATCACCAATGTATGGTTCAATACATGTACACCGTGCTGCACCATTGCGTTCAGCACACACAGCATTTTCCCCACATGGACTTGGATAGCATGGGTCAATGCGATCATGAGTTTCTAAAAAAGGAAATAGTAAGTTGTGATAACATATATATAACATTTGATTATAAACTTACTTTCTTCAACCTTTGAGCATCCCACAAATGCATCACCTTCATAGCCTAGTTCACAGCTACAGTGCGCAGAATGTGCAATAACTGTACAACGTGCATTGTGTCCACATGTATCAGTACAAGGACTTTGACATTTCTCCTGAATGCAAGCTTTATCGGCTGAGCATTGACTATTTAATGTGCATTCAGGTCTGCAGTATGGTGGGCTACCGACGTAATTGGCAATACAAGAGCAAACTGGTCGACCTTGCTTTATTTGACAAATAGAATTGGGACCACAAGGTGAAGGTACACATGGATTTTCTGGTTTACGTGGCTGTTCGTCAGTAATCATTGGTATTCGTGAACATGAAACGAATGGATCTCCTTCAAAACCTTGTTCGCATGAACAGATAACATTGTGATTTAAAACTTCGCAACGTGCCCCTACGCCACATGTTCCAGGACAAGGGTCTGCACATCGATTGTTAATGCAAGCTCTATTCAGAACACATTCTGAACTAACAACGCACTCTGGTTGACAAACTGGCGGCGCCCCTTTGAAATTCGGCAAACAAGAACAAGCAGCAGACCCGTCATTTGATGCTAGGCAACGAGAATTAGGACCACATGGGGATGGGTTGCAAGGGTTAATTGGCTTTTTGCTTGGTGTCTTTGTTGGTGGCAAGTAATATGGGTTGCATGCTAAGAAAGCATTACCAGTATAACCTTCAGAGCATATACAAACTGGAGAGTGATTAACAACATGACAAACAGCATTTATACCACAAACACCAACACATGCGTCTACACATTTTGAATTCACGCATGATTTGTCTACTGGACAGTCTGTATTTAAAACACATTCTGGTCGACAGCCAATGAAAGGATCGCCAAAGTATCCTTTACGACATACGCAAGCTAACGAACTTCCATGCTTTTTACACTCAGCATTAGCACCACAACGTAATTTTTCACAACTTGGAGATGGAGTTGGTATAACTGGTGACGGTAATGAGCAATGTTCATATGGATTACCATATAAACCTTGTGGGCAACTACAAATTGGATTGTGTTCGTATACATTACATATAGCATTATGACCACAAGAGCCGGGACATGGATCCAGACAACGCTGTCCCAAACAAGCTCTATCGAAAGGACAGTCCGAATTAGATAAGCATTCCGGGCGGCAACGAGGATTCTGCTGAGCATTAGGCCCAAAGCATGGATCACAGAGCGCAACACCATCGTCATAAATTGAGCAAACATCATTTGGCCCGCACGGAGAAGGTGTACATGGGTCACGTGAAACATTTTTAAGTACACCAATCGCAACACATTGCAAAAATGCGTCACCAGTAAATCCATCTAAACATGTACAAATTGGTGTATGTTGTCTGACATTGCAAATGGCGTTAATTCCACATATAGTACCGCCACATGGGTCAATACATTTGTGATTAATACAAGATTGTGATTGACTGCAATCAGAATTTATGTCACATTCTGGGTGGCATCCGGATTGTGGATCTCCTAAGTAACCGGGTAAACAAGAACATACTGCTCGATTATTAAGCAATTTGCATTCGCTGTTTATACCACATGGACTAGGTATACAAGGATTTCGAGTTGGTTTTTTCGGCACATCTAAAGCATAACAGCGTACACCGGGATTGCCAGTTAGTCCAGCATTGCATGAGCACACTGGATGATGTTCTTCAACACGACAATTTGCACCTGGGCCGCAAGCACCTGGACATGGATCATAGCATTTAAATCCCATACAAGCCTTATCACGGGGACAATCAGCATCAATTTGACACTCATAACCATGACAACCGATTACTGATGATGGTTCACCAAATAAACCATCTGGACATATACAAGAACTTTGTCCGCTAGCTGATATCACACATTGTGCATTTGGGCCGCATGGATTCGGTTCACATACAGTCCGCGTTGGTTCGCGACAACCCTCATAAGGATCACCTATATAGCCAGGACGACAATAACATTCTTCGCGATTAGATGCTACATAACAATCAGCATTACGACCACAAGGACCTGGCTTACAAAGTTCAATAGTCACTGGCGGTTTCTCGCATATTCTAAACGGATTGCCAATTTTATTATCAGGGCAGAAGCAAACTGGATTGCGGGAAGAATCGCACACTGCACCCAATCCACATGGATTGGGATCGCATGGATTTACAGGCTCTATGCAACCTCGAATTGTGTTTGGACTTTCAACATAACCTGGCAAGCACGTGCATTTAGAAAATCCATTGCTTAACACAGCACATTGTGTATTTGGACCGCATGGTGAAGGGTCACAAGGATTACTTGGAAGTTCACATGGAATATTGGGTGGTTGACCTTCATATTCTGGTAAACAGAAACATATAGGCGCACTATTCACTAAACGGCATCCGGAATTGGGCCCACATGGATTAGGTGAGCATTCATCTCCTTCAGGAACTGAAAGTACAAAATTATTTCGTATAATAATTTAAAAAGTGACTATGTATAAGATACATGCAATTTATAAATTTAATTAATAAACTTATATTCTTAGTTTATCATTTGGAGCTAAGAAATTTAAATGCAACTCATTAAAAATTTAATTAAGAGATAAGGTGAATTATTTCATTAAATTTGTTATTCTAAATATTACTAACTGACTAAGAACATAGGATTTTTCTTAACTCCAATTGTATCAATAATATTAAAACCATGGTAAATGATTTTACTTACTGCAGTTTTTGAATGGATTTCCAGTTAAACCTTTCGGGCAATAGCAAATTGGATTGCCATTATCAAGTTCGCATAAAGCATTAACACCACAGGGATTGGGCTCGCATGGGTTCGATGGTGGACTGCATGATATTTTTGGATCGCCTGCATAACCCGCAGGACATTTGCATATACCACGGTGGTTAACTATATCACAAAGTGCATAAGCTCCACAGCGACAAGGAGATGAGCATTTTCCATTAATACATGCCTCACTGCTATCACACTCTGAGTCCGAACGGCAACCGTGCACTTGACTGCATTCAATATATGCATTGCCTAGGAATCCAGGCAAACAACGGCACTCAATGCCGTGATTAACAGGCACACATTCAGCATTTTCGCCACATGAGTCTTCTTGACAGGGATTAATGCAACGACGATTAAGACGGTCACATAATTTGGTTGGTGGACAATCCTCGTTATATTGACATACTGCGGTGTGTTGAATTTCTGTTTGTTGCAGTGTTTTGTTGGGTAGTTGTGACAAAACAGTGATTGGGGAAGTTGATTTGTGTGTATTTATAAATCATTGTGTGTTGGTTTATTTTTATGCAAATAGCATTGGTATTGTTGAGTATTGCGAAGAAAAGTACACATTTTATACACGTGAGTTGTGAGTAAAATTTTTTACAGTGTTTAAAAAGGACAAGCAAAGAAATTAGCATATTAGATTTTATAAAGTGTATTATATATATAGTAATATAATGATTGTGTAACTATTGAATTACTCATACGGATAAGTGTGTATATATATATGGTATATAGAGAATTCTATTAAAATGAATTAATACCTGGCTGGCATCCCACAAAAGCGTTCCCTTGATAACCATCTACACAACTGCAGTCCGCAACGTGATTGGTGTTTATGCAAACAGCATTTTGGGCACAAGGGTTATGAGCATCGCAAGGATGTTGGCAGCGTTCATTGATGCAGGCTTCCGTTACAGTGCAATCGGAATCGTGTGTACATTCAACTAATGTAGATATAAAGATATATATTTAGAAAGTGGAATTTTCTAAGAAATGAATGATTATTTTATATTGTAAGTTTAATTTAATATATTATTTTTTTATTAACTTTGTGAAATATGTTTATGTAGGTATGAGTGTTTTTAATAGAGTTAGTTGCTTACTCGATTTGTTGGCAGGTGAGCACTTAATAGTCGGATTGCCTTCATGTCCTTTTGGACATGAACAAATTGGACGATGCATTTTAGCTACGCACTTAGCTGTCGGTGCGCATATATTGGCGAACTCACACGGATCTTGGCAAAGACCCATGTAGCATGCTTCGCTTTCAATACATTCGTTATTTGAATGACATGGTTCAGGTCTCTTTGGTGTGCCTGGTGGTTCTACTTGTTAAAAATTAATTGTTATTGTATGACATATTAGGTTAATATTATATTAGAATATATGTAAATTTATTTTAAATTAAAATAGAAATGAATTCGTAATTAAGTATTTGATATTTTAAAATTACTATGTACACGTTAATAATTATTTTCTATTATATATATATATATATAAATATACAATCAACGACTTATATATTCGTTTTGTTAGACAGTATGTGCTTCGAAGATAATGTATTTTATTTTACATCAATAAGACGACAAGATACCAGAGTTGATATTACCATATATGATAGGAATGCAAATTATTTACTATCTTAAAGGAAAAAAGAAATATGAGTGTTATTAGAACTACTTCATCAGAGGGTAACTCAAAATACAAGGGTAAATAAATCTAGGTAATTTAAATTTTTAACTGTACTATAAAAATGTACAAAACCTATCAATAATATATAGTACTTATGCATTATCCAAGTTGTTAGAGTCATGCAATATAACTGATTTAATAGTTTTCTTTTAAAATTTATGAAAATAAATGCTATTTACAAGACTTGAAAGTAGTTAATAATATAACATAATTAAACTATGATGTTAATGTAGTACTATGACCAAATGCTCTCTTATACTGCCTTCTGTTAATATAGAGTATATATTAATACTACCATAATATACAGGGTATACTCTAATCTTATACAATTGTGTTGTTTAATAGATTCAAGAATGTCGGCTATAACTAGGCTGGCTAGTTCAGTATTTGATATTAAGTATAATTATAAATACTTTTTTCTACTGTATATCACTGGACCACAAACTAAGTTAACGGATATCTCTAGAGTTTTATGCGGGCAGTTAATAGATTGATTAATATTCTAAATCCAAAATTTAAATCTTTTGCAATTGTAGTTATCTAAAATTAATTTAGATTGTTTTAAAGCTATAAATCTGCATTCTTTACCTCCTCTCTCTATAACTCGAATTGAAAGAAACGTTTTAATTTAATAAAAATCGATTTTCTTATTAAAAATAATAACGAATAATACTAAGACTAGAATAATGTTCGTCTGATAAAATATAACCATACAACTCATTTATCTAAATATCATATAACGTTGGACTTGCACGTACTCATAGAGTTTCATCTACACAGACTAGGAACACAGACTAACTTTTATTGGAAATCATATACAAAAGATGCTGCTTCAAATATAGATAAGGAAGTAAATTTAATATAACTTTTCATAACATGAGGATTAGTATAATGAATATTAAAAGAAAGGTTTGATTTTTTTAGATAGATAATTCTTAATATAAATGAATTTTTGAATAAAACTATATGTGCAGATTTGCAGATATAAATGAGGTTTGAGAAATTTTATTTACAAAAGAACGAAGAATTTATGTTATCATTAAGTATTGAATAGATGGTATTTTATTAGATTTATTTATACCTATTACTATGATTGTATTATTGGATTAAAATTATACCTTTTACACAGCCAATGTCGCTTTTATCGTCAGGCAGACATTTTTTGCGACAAGTACCCATTACGCACAATTGATTAGAAGCGCAATTAGTATGTTCTGTACAAGTGTTAATAATTGTGATATCGGTAGTGGTTGTGATGGATTGGCTAGTGGTGTTTATCATACTGATCGTTTCAGGGGTTTGTGTTGTTGTAAGTGGTTCAATCATGTCGTAAATTGATTGAGTTGTACCAGACACAGTCGGTACTTCAATTAATGTTGTAGTCTTTGGCTTTAAAACAGGGAATATAGTTGTTGTGGGTTCACCATTTGTAACCATATCCTTATCAGTGATTATTGTTGTTGTCTCTATTGGTTTCATTCCATCAGTGACAACGAGTACTGGAAATGTTGAAGCATCATAACGTTGTGTTGTTGTCAACATTGTTGTCATATTATAATCAAATTCGTTTGATGTATCAATGCGTGTAGTTTTCATTTTTGGTGTTGTCGTTCTTGCATCGGAAGAGCCTTTAATACCTTCACCACGGGTTGTGGTATTGGCTGTGGTAGTTATAGAACTAGTTGTATTACTAGCACTGGTAACTATAGTAGTAGTGGTTATACCAGTGCTTGTTGTTGTACCAGCTGTTGTTGTTATAAAATCACCTGGAGTACTATCAGTTATATTATTTTCACCATCTCTATAGCCCTTTGGAGGCCCAGTTTTTGTTGTTGTATCTAAACTGATAGTAGTATACTCCGTTGTGCTTGGTACAGTGTTAGTATCAGACGTTATTGTGTGCATAGTAGTGCTTCTAGTAGTTACAATATCGTATACTCTTTCGGTAGTGGTAATAGTAGTTTCATCAGTGGTGAGTGGGTTAGATGTAGTTGTTATATTGGTAGTGTTTGTTACTGATACCTTAGCTATAATATTTACATCGGAGGATATACATGTATATATATTTGTTTGTGTTATGGAGAAAAATATATACAAAAATGAATAAATTGTAAGTTTATTTACAAAAATATGTGAAATATGTGAGAGTGTACAGACTTTTTGAAATAAAACTTAGATATTTTTTTTTAATTTAATGTCATAAAAAAAAAAAATAAATGAAATGTTAAGTTTATTTTAGTTGAGTGTGCATTTTAACATTTTAGTTAGTTTATTTTGATGAACGTTAGGTAATGCGTATAAATAAAAATTTAAAACTTACCTTTAATGCAAGCACCAGTAGTTGGATCACAATTAGTACCTTGCGGACAATGTTCACAACCAGGAGTGCGTCCTGTGGCTAAAAGTAATAAAAATTATTAGAAAAAACATGAAAAACTCAATAATATGTTATAAAAAATTTAATATATTTTGTGATATAAAAAAAATAAAAGATAGTTTTGTTATATTATGAATAAAATTTTATACATAATTAAAAAAATATTTTTAATAGTGTGTACTAGACAAACATAATTCAAAATGATTTGATACTCACTTTGTCGACAGTGACATCCATCACATTCAAAGCCAGAGTGGCAATCAGATTTTCGTTGGCATTCGCAAACTAAAAATTATAAAGAATGAAAATATAATAATAAAAATTCATTAAAATATATAATATATATGTATAATATATATTAATAAAGTGCATTCAAAAGTACAAAAAATCAATCGATCAATCACTCCCCATATTCATCTAATGCAACACCGTGCGATTTTTATTTTCTTGGAAAAATAAATTTGCAGATGAAAAGAAAGCGATAAGTGGACGATATCTTGGCAGACGATTTTAAAATACTTATTCAACATATTTTTAGATCGTGTAAACACTGCATTAGGACAGTGACCGAGGAATTATTATTTTATTCTTATTTATAAAAAGTCTTATTTACATAGGAACGCTTCTTACCATTGTAATACTTAAAACTACAATTCTTTAAAAATGATATATAGTACTATTGTGATAACTAGTAATGCAATAAAGCAAAAAAGACTGACAAATGTTGTTGTATATTTATTACAAGCTGTCTGTACACAATTTCTAAGCTTCGCAAATTCTAGGCTCTTTGAAGACCTATTTGAACTTATCAAATTTGAAATACTCTCTAGCATGTTTCTCAAGCAAGTCAAATATTTTACTTGTTATTGTCCTAATTTATTTTATTTTTATTTTTTAAATTAACTTTATTGTTTTCTTTCAAACAACAACAACTATGTAATGTAATTATTCTAAAGAACGCATAAACCACAGCTATATATAAATGCAAATATTTATTATAATAGTTATCAGATTTCGGTTATTTGTTAACTTTGCCTTAAAATGTTATTCTCAATTCTGTTTTAAAGAAAATCATGTTTTTTATTACATTATATATAATATTAAATATAATTAAGATTTTTCGACCGATGTGAAAGCAACTAAACTATACCTCAATTTGACTTACAAAATAATTTATATTAAAGATATAAATTTAATTGTTTTTAACAATTACTTTTATTTTAAGTATAATTATTTTTAGTTAGTTTCAACTTATTTTTAATTATTGTAGTTCTAAATTATTTTTAATTTTTGTAGTTTTAAATAATTTTTAATTATTTTATTTACTTTTAATAATTATATGTTAGAAATTTATTACTTATAAAATAAAGTTATTCTACATACCTTTGGAACATACTGGCTGATGATCGAGAACTTGACACTCTTGATCGTGACCACAAGGACTTGAGTACGAGCAGGGATCAACGCAAATAGTATTAACACAGGCCCGTTGAGAGGGACATTCATCGCTGGATGCACAACCAATTTCTAATTGATTTCAAAAATGCAAATTGTATTTTGAAAATGAGAAAATTAATCATTGTTAATAAAGTTGAAACTGATTTGAGTTTAGAATAAAATTATTATTAAAATTAGAGTAAATATGATTAAAAGTCAAGAAATCAAACAAAATTCTCGGCTTTATTTCAGCTTTATTTCAGTTTGAAATATGCTCATTATTATATTATTAGTTATTATTAAGTTGGTCGTCTTTTCGGTTTGTTGAAACATGTTTTAAAACCAGAAAAGGCAATAGAAACATGCAGGTTAAATATCTCAACAGTACTACAGCTACAATACAATTTGTTAGTAGAGAAGCTAAAAGCTTTAAGGCATGCGTTCAATTTAATTAAATTACATATATATATATATATATGTTATATATATATATCACAAAATACCAAATACAAAATATTTATGTAAACAATTTTCTACAAAAAATATATAAGGACTACAAATAGAGACCAATCACCTTTACAATTACTAGAGCTAAAAGTACTCAGTCTTTTACATACAAGTATTTACATTTGTTAAAAAATATATACACATAAATATATACAACGAACTGGATGTTTATGTTGTATGCATTATGCCATAATGCTATTTACGTCATCCAATATGTCATATCAGATCCATTTAAACATATAGTAAATATTACAATATATTACTTATTTTACATATTTTACATATATTACATATATTACATATACGAATAGCAACGATTTAGGTATGTTGTATTTTCATGCAACACTGCGTGAGAAGAAAACAAAAAATTGTGTAGCCAAAAACATATTCGAAAAATAGAGATGTCTCAGCATTAGGGAGAGTTCAATCCATTTTTTACGTATATCCTTTAGAGCCTGGAAGTGAGTGTACGAGAGGTAAACACATAAAAACACAGACATGCTTTGCAATGAAAAGGAAGAAAAATGTAGAGTTCGTCCTTTTTGCGTAAGTAGTATGAATAAGAGAATTGAAGAGTAAAAGAGTAAAAGAGCATGATGTAAACATAAAACTACATGAGATCGTTCACATAGAAAAACAGGCAACACAAGTGAGTTCGTACTTAAAATCAAAGAGTAAACGTCAATTAACATGCATTCGCAGAGCTTGTAATGGCTCTGCATATGATACGAGGCTTTCCTGTAAAAATAGCGTAAAAACGTCAACATTTAATGAATGAGAAAGTTCACCATATTGTCATGTGCAAGTGGGGGTGCAAAACATATAGGAAGACACATAGAGTTATAAAGTACCCGAAATAGAATTGCGGCAAAGTTATCACAGTAGCATGCAAAAGCCTTCATCTTTCAAGCTTTTCTTATTTTAGAAACTTCTAACGAGTTCTCTTAAAGAAATCAACATGAATGATTACTTTTTGCTTATAAATTTTTTTTTTGCCAGAGAGGAAAAAAAATTGATAACATATAAACTTTGCCGCCATAATAAAAAGATGTAGAAGATATCTGACGCTTTCTTTATGAAAGCTGCAACACAATTCACCAAGTCATACGGTGTTTTTGTTTGCAGTACTGGGCGTCGTCTTAAACCAAAATACCAAATATCATTTCATTCTATGACACGTTGATCTTACAAATCTGTATAAATGCATTCAAGTTACCTGCTATAACGTGACAACCTGGAGTATTAATATCTGCGGCAATATCGCAAAAGCACATAGCTGTGTGATTTATAGTACGGCAAATTTGGAACATGGGTTTGTATTTATCGCATAAATCCAAGTCATATGCGCATAGTCTTGTACAAAGCTTACCTAAGCAGACTTCATCAAATGCGCAGTCAAAGTCAGTCGAACAAAATTGTGTCAAATTAAAAGAAGTTGTTGTAGGTGTCAAAGTAGAGATTGGAGATTCTGTATCAGTTACATATGCGATTGTAGTATAAGCATCTTTGGGTCCAAAACCTTCGGTGAATATCGGAGTCAATGTAGACTCTTTGAATTTCTCAGTAGTAGTTTGTGAAGAACTAGGTAGTGTTGTTGTTCTTACTTCGTATGGAGATGTGAATGTTTCGGTTACTCGAGGTACAACAGTTTCTGTAGTTTTTTCCACAAATTCCTTAGCAAGGGTAGTTCCTTCAGTAGGAACTTCACTACCAGTTGTATAAACTACTGACTCGGTAGTTGTTCGATGTTCACTTGGCATAGTTGTAGTTTTATATTCAATTGGCGTTGAGGTTTGAATACCAGCGATAGTAGTCTCCTCAATGACTTCTTTCGTAACTGTAGACTCTCCAGTTTTTTCTGTAGTTGTTTTTGGGGAACTGATTGAAGTTGTTGTTTTTACTTCATACGGTGAAGTGGATGTTTCGGTTACACGAGGTACAACAGTTTCTGTAGTTTTCTCGACCAATTCCTTAGGAATAGTAGTTTCCTCTACAGGAATCACGCTACCTGTTGTATAAACTATCGACTCAGTAGTTGTTCGACGTGCACTTGGCATAGTTGTAGTTTTATATTCAATTGGTGTTGAGGTTGGAATACCGGCGATAGTAGTCTCCTCAATGACTTCTTTAGTGACTGTAGACTCTCCAGTTTTTTCTGTAGTTGTTTTTGGGGAACTGATTGAAGTTGTTGTTTTTACTTCATACGGTGAAGTGGATGTTTCGGTTACTCGAGGTACAACAGTTTCAGTAGTTTTCTCGACCAATTCCTTAGGCATAGTAGTTTCCTCTACAGGAACCACGCTACCTGTTGTATAAACTATCGACTCAGTAGTTGTTCGACGTGCACTTGGCATAGTTGTAGTTTTATATTCAATTGGCGTTGAGGTTTGAATACCACGGATAGTAGTCTCCTCAATGCCTTCTTTAGTCACTGTAGACTCTCCAGTTTTTTCTGTAGTTGTTTTTGGGGAACTGATTGAAGTTGTTGTTTTTATTTCGTATGGAGCAGTGGATGTTTCTATTACTCGAGGCACAACAGTTTCTGTAGTTTTTTCCACAATTTCCTGAGGAATTGTAGTTTCTTCTACAGGAGTCACGCTACCTGTTGTATAAACTATCGACTCGGTAGTTGTTCGACGTGCACTTGGCATAGTTGTAGTTTTATATTCAATTGGCGTTGAGGTTTGAATACCACGGATAGTAGTCTCCTCAATGCCTTCTTTAGTGACTGTAGACTCTCCAGTTTTTTCTGTAGTTGTTTTTGGGGAACTGATTGAAGTTGTTGTTTTTATTTCGTATGGAGCAGTGGATGTTTCTATTACTCGAGGCACAACAGTTTCTGTAGTTTTTTCCACAATTTCCTGAGGAATTGTAGTTTTCTCTACAGGAACCACGCTACCTGTTGTATAAACTATCGACTCGGTAGTTGTTGGACGTGCACTTGGCATAGTTGTATTTTTATATTCAATTGGTGTTGAGGCTTGAATACCGGCGATAGTAGTCTCCTCAATGATTTCTTTAGTGACTGTAGACTCTCCAGTTTTTTCTGTAGTTGTTTTTGGGGAACTGATTGAAGTTGTTGTGTTTACTTCATACGGTGAAGTGGATGTTTCGGTTACTCGAGGTACAACAGTTTCTGTAGTTTTCTCGACTAATTCCTTAGGCATAGTAGTTTCCTCTACAGGAACCACGCTACCTGTTGTATAAACTATCGACTCAGTAGTTGTTCGACGTGCACTTGGCATAGTTGTAGTTTTATATTCAATTGGTGTTAAGGTTTGAATACCGGCGATAGTAGTCTCCTCAATGAGTTCTTTCGTAACTGTAGACTCTCCAGTTTTTTCTGTAGTTGTTTTTGGCGAACTGATTGAAGATGTTGTTTTTATTTCATACGGTGACGTGGACGTTTCGGTTACTCGAGGTACAACAGTTTCTGTAGTTTTCTCGACTAATTCCTTAGGCATAGTAGTTTCCTCTACAGGAAGCACGCTACCTGTTGTATAAACTATCGACTCAGTAGTTGTTCGACGTGCACTTGGCATAGTTGTAGTTTTATATTCAATTGGTGTTAAGGTTTGAATACCGGCGATAGTAGTCTCCTCAATGACTTCTTTAGTGACTGTAGACTCTCCAGTTTTTTCTGTAGTTGTTTTTGAGGAACTGATTGAAGTTGTTGTTTTTACTTCATACGGTGAAGTGGATGTTTCGGTTACACGAGGTACAACAGTTTCTGTAGTTTTCTCGACTAATTCCTTAGGCATAGTAGTTTCCTCTACAGGAGTCACGCTACCTGTTGTATAAACTATCGACTCAGTAGTTGTTCGACGTGCACTTGGCATAGTTGTAGTTTTATATTCAATTGGTGTTAAGGTTTGAATACCGGCGATAGTAGTCTCCTCAATGAGTTCTTTAGTGACTGTAGACTCTCCAGTTTCTTCTGTAGTTGTTTTTGGGGAACTGATTGAAGTTGTTGTTTTTACTTCATACGGTGAAGTAGATGTTTCGATTACACGGTGCACAACAGTTTCAGTAGTTTTCTCGACCAATTCCTTTGGAATAGTAGTTTCCTCTACAGGAACCACGCTACCTGTTGTATAAATTACTGACTCAGTAGTTGTTCGACGTGTACCTGGCATAGTTGTAGTTTTATATTCAATTGGTGTTGAGGTTTGAATACCGGCGACAGTAGTCTCCTCAATGAGTTCTTTGGTAACTGTAGACTCTCCAGTTTTTTCTGTAGTTGTTTTTGGGGAACTGATTGAAGTTGTTGTTTTTACTTCATACGGTGAAGTGGATGTTTCGGTTACTCGAGGTACAACAGTTTCTGTAGTTTTTTCCACAAATTCCTTAGCAAGGGTAGTTCCTTCAGTAGAAACTTCACTACCAGTTGTATAAACTATTGACTCGATAGTTGTTCGACGTGCACTTGGCATAGTTGTAGTTTTATATTCGATCGGTGTTGAGGTTCGAATACCGGCGACAGTAGTCTCCTCAATGACTTCTTTCGTAACTGTAGACTCTCCAGTTTTTTCTGTAGTTGTTTTTGGGGAACTGATTGAAGTTGTTGTTTTTACTTCATACGG